AAGAGTCCACAATAATAGAGACGCGAGGTTGAAAAATAAAATGCCGCAAAGTATTCGACTCGCGAGCAGGAAATAATGGATTATGTAATTGCGCTTTTAGCGTTTTTCTTTTAAATTGGGATGTATTCAAGAGATCGTTCACAATAGAATCCGGTTTTTAATCAAGGTAGAAAATATGAAATTTCTGAATAATTACGACACCGTTTCAATAAAAAAGAATTAAAGCAGTCGTAATACCAAAATTCCTTGTTTTAATTTGATGTAATGTACGAAATAGTATACTTTCTGACTATTGTCCAAATTTACCTGCAGAACTTATTTCTTATGGCTATTCTCCTTTCTTCTTTGGACTTCTTAACGCCATACACTTAACACTTGAGGACTATGACAATTTCGTTCAAGATGATCTTCCTTGCGTCAGAAACTAAAATTTTTATTTTTCTCTCAGCCGTCGTTACATAGTTAACTCTTTTGTTTTCCCTAAATATTTAATGATAAATCCGGCATATTTTCACAAAATGTTGGCTAAAAAATGACTGTTGAATACTGAAGGCGTGGTTTGAAATGAAATATTGAATATTTTTTAATGTCATATGCGTTAACCAGAAATTTTATCAGTATAGGTGAGACGTCCAGTCAAATAAGGATATGCCGGGAGTGTTGAATAAAAGAGAGATACATCATACGTTCCTGTAATAGTTGCCTTGACTAATGCAAGCAGTAATTTTCCATAAAAAATGGCAACGTGCTATACATTAAAATATTTACGTGTATAATATAAGTGTTACAATTCCACACTAAATGCGAGTTCCTGTCGTTCAAGAGGCAGCGAAAGAGTCTTTAATACTTTTTCAAAGAAACTTTCGCAAGCTGTGAAACTTGTCGATTTCTCTTGCGTCAGGTGTTTACTACAGGTGTATCACAGATTTTTCGTTAAACATGCCCTGCAGGCTTCTTCAAATCGCCGTCTGAGACTCGGTCTACCGACATATCTTTAATACTGTGACAATTATTTGCCAGTTTTTTTTTAAATAAACTAATGTTTCCTTTTTAAAACACTTCCTGTTATTTTAGGCTAGCTGAAGACCCTAATTTGAAAAGTTCCTGTATTCTGGTCTCCTTTAACAAACGAATTGGACGACAGAGACTTCTGTAGTTTATTTCAACCCTGGCAAAATTTTGAGCTTTTACGCTAATTCGCACCTCAAAGTTCTAAGTTACCCCTTTTGTGAAAACATGCCACATAAAATCTCTGTGATAATTCGGCGCCTTTTTGAGATGCGCATTACAAATTACTAAAATCACGAAATTCGAAAAGAGTATTCAATCGCAGTAGTAATCAGTAATACAATTATACAACACGCCCAAGATAAATTACGGAGATAAACGACGTCGAGATTTCATTGCCTAGGTATTTTTGTAGTTTCTTTGAAGAGGTAATAAGAAACATTTTTTCGCGATAAGCGTTTCATTTTGATGAAGCAATCAACATTACGATTACAGTATAGTTTTAGTATCTCTTACAAAGAAATATTAGTCTTAATATTCCTTTTTCCTTCTTCACTTGACCGAGCCGCATAAAAAATCTTCCTCTTCATTACCGTTAGCGCGATCACTTCTGGTCCATCGCTTACTTCATCAGATAAGCCGTAGGTTCAGACTTTCACCGTCGTTAATTTTTTCCAGATTGTTCAGCGGAATTAAGCAGGACCGTTTATCACCAAATAGACCTTAAGGCGTCTTAATGGCAGACCGAAGCCTAATCCTATTCCGATAATTGCTTCTGCGAGATATGATTATATATAGAGATGGCCGACGCTAAAACGATTTGATCCCAAATCCAGTAACTGCTTTTGCGAAAATAATGTTCGGTCTCACGGCCAACCGCAAAGAAATTAGAGAGTTTCTAATTTTCGAGGTGCTTAAACAAAAATTATAAATTCAAATTTTACAGTGTTGCAAGTTTGACATAATAATTATGAATTTTCCCTTCGTCGCGGGGTCGCAATATTCTTGGCGGAAACAGTATTCGCCGAAACTTGCATGAACGACACATTTCTTGATTTCTTTATTCAAAGACAAAGGAGACGAAAAATTCGGTATGAGTAGACATAACGTGGGCTTGATTTTATAGTCAAATTCAAATATGAAAATATCATCTTGATGCGTGGTGTGGTTTCTAAGTTACGCTGTGACAATGCGTTCGTGTAGGAAGCGTTTCGTTGGATATTCTCGTCAATTTTTTTTTGCTATGTTGTTTTTCTTTTTCTTTTGAAATACCTAATGTTTTATGATTCACGTTTGATATCTTCTTAAAGCCGTTTTTGAGAAATTCATTATTTTTTTATCTCAACGCCAGACATTTCACAATTTAAAACGCATCTATAGAAATCGAACGTGGCACACTACTCGTATTTTTTTACAAAAATGTACCGAAAAATTAATGATCGTAGCAAAAGTGTACTGTGCAGAGACCTAAAAGGGATCGATGTGAAAACTAATTATCTAGTTCAATCGGAGGCATTCATAGCTTATTCTGTGTCATTTGTTCACAAATACTTATGATTTTTCGAAATTATGGCATCATCTATACAGTTGGTTGGTTGGTTGGTGAACTCAAAGGCTCACTACAATGCGAATATAAATACTGAATTTCTGAAATACAATTTTAACAAACCATCAACTGTCATATATCAATGCAATGATAATTTTGCTCTTAATCTAGAAATGAAATAAAATACTAGTTGTCCCATGGCAAACCTTGAGTAATATCTCGTTAACTATCTGTCTCACTTCTATCTAACCACAAAAATCAAAATAAAAAAGTCATAAACGCCTTTCTACATTGCAATCTTTTGAAAATCTCTTATTTATTCGAAAACTACAACACGTATCAAGTTTCGACGCAAAGCACATTCTTACTCGTTTTTGATTTTCTTCAATGTTAGAAATACCCAAAGCCGCATAAAACATCAAATTTTCCTCACTCAGCACATGGGAAAAAATCTCACCAACGGGATAGTCCTATATTACTCATATAGGATATATATTAATAAAAACCGATATTTTGTAAAACTTTAACATATTGATATGAACTTTATGGCTGAATTCGGGCACCAGCGGAATTACAAATGAGAATAATGTTCATTACATTGACTGTATTAATTAATTCTTGAAATCAAATTTGTTTCGAATTTGAAATGTTTTTTTCTGTGAGTCTACGTATGACCATTTTAAAAACAGCGCAAAAAAGTAACACAAGTTTTGAGAGCTAAGCAAAACTAACCCTCTTACTTCCCACCAAGTTTCTGAAAATTTTCAAGAAAATTTGGAAACTTAATGTTCAGTTTGTAAAAAACATTACCGAATACATAAAGTAAATAGGATTAATGCTTGAAAATATTTGTCAGGTGACATTCATCTTTTTGGGTCAACCCCATGTAAACACTGCGTTCAGTACCTCGTGCATTAAAAAAATTTTTATTATGTTTTTATAGATACAAATAACAAAAGTTTTTCTAGGTTTTTTATTATAGACATTGGATATTTTGTATGCTGGAATAAATCGTGATGACATATAATAAATTCACGTTGGCATTTTTAACGAAATATTTCATTTCCTGCGCGTACACGTTTAAACCAACGTAAATTGGCTATTTTCCGTATTGATAATAAATAGGGCAATTGTTTGGCATTCTAAATCGGTGTTTCGGGGCAACGATTTTAACAATTACGTACCAAAAATTCAAACGGATTTCGCTGGAATTTAAACTGCGATCCACGAGGCAAATATTAATGTTGCTGGTGATTTGTGGAAAATGTCGCGTTGCTCATTGTTCAATAAAGACGAAGGAAACTTGTTTCTTCCAACAAACCAACACCACAGCGCCGCAGAGATAGATTAATTCGATTAGTTTTGGTTGAACCTGCCGTTATAATGCTAACAATCCGGAAACGTTCTAATTCAACTCCAGTTCCATTAACAAGCTAAACTAAATTTTTGCTAAAATGCGTACAAAATATTCGGCAAGATATCTAATTAAAGAGAAAACCCCTTTTTTTAAATTTTGTGTCCATTAGCCTTGCCTATTCGTTTTTTTCTCTTTGGATAAATTCAGCTTTTGTAATACTGAAGCAGAAAAGAACCAAATGAAAAAAGAAAGATAATAAAAATATAGGGGTGACATAATTCTCCACTCTTAGTCTTTATACCAATTATTTGCACTTCATTTTTCTCAACTTTGATGCCCATGGCTAGTTATAAAATAGATACTTATATTTCAATTTAATTTTGTTACAACAATAGTGTCTACCACTCCGCAATATATAGAACAAGTTAATCTTTAAGAACTAGTATTATTCTTTCCCGCGTGTGTTTTGCTTTTCTTTAAAAAAATTATTAAAAATTATTTATTTAATCAAACTTAATAATCATCGAAAATCTTTTTGAAATATTTTAAATATATATTAATACTTTTCTAAATTAGGTATGGCATTCACTTCTTTTTTCCCATCTTTCAGCCTATATTTTGGCATAACTCTATATCACGAAATCATTTTTTTCATCAAGAGTGAATAAGTGTCCCTCTTATGAAATATAAATTATTTTGTGATTTTCGATTCATTCTTCGATCAGCTTCTTCCTCGTTAACGGATTAAGATATTTTCAGTTTTTAACTGAAACGTTTTTTTATTGTGTTATAGCTTCTTCTTCCCGTATTTGCAAAAAAGAATTCGACAGAAAAGACAAGATATTATTTCAAACAACAAAGTTGCGGGCCTTAGAAAGAATAATTTTATTTTTTAATAAACAGTTAAGCCTTCGAGATAAAATAAAGCATTAAAAAGTTCCAAGAACGAAGCAGACTTATCGTTTTCTTAATAGCGTTGAACTTAATTTTCAATGTTGGGTTGACTCATAAAGTGAGTTTATCCAAATATAACCCTACTAATAATAAATATTATTTTCATTACGTTTTAATAGAAGTATCTCTTTTCAGCCTCTGGACAGGGATCAACCTAACGGTCGACCACAATGGCGGTTCACAGTGTTCGCCCAGGATGAGGGCGGAGAAGGTCTGGTAGGATACGCCGATGTTCAAGTAAATCTCAAAGACATCAACGACAATGCTCCCATATTTCCGCAAGGCGTTTACTTCGGCAATGTCACTGAGAACGGTACTGCCGGTATGGTTGTGATGACGATGACCGCCGTAGATTACGATGATCCTTCGGAAGGTAGGTTCTTTAACGCTATGCTATGATATGTGAGGCTATGATGTGAAAAAATGTAGACTTAAACATATTTATATAAATAGATGTACATATAACGTAAAATACGCGCGTTTGTTGTGTGAACTTGGTTTTACTTTATTTGACCTTGACGCTGAGACGTCGCTTATTTATCTCGAACGGGACGAATTAAGCTGTGAATATTTATAAACTTCATCGTATGCAAGACCTTTTAAATGCAAGAGCTATTTATCGAGACTGTTTAGTTGTCCAGTTTTGTTTTGCCTGTTAATATGCCGCGTGGCAGAATGGCCAGCAATTTGTCCACACCTGAATCCGATATAGAAAGTCATGGGGAATATTAAGAGGGAAATTATATGATCAGGAAAAGACAAAAATAAATAATGTCAATGAACTCTGCCATCAACTGGGTCAAAATTTCAACGAATACACTTAAGGAATTAATTGATAGCATGTTTAAAAGGCTAATAAAAGTTATAAAAAATAAAGGTGACTGGAGGAAATATTAAGGCAATAAGAGATAAATATAAGCAGTGAGTTTATAATTGTTCACCGTATAGATGGTAGGCTATTTCAGTCATATATTGACACTTTTATTTGTGTGTACTATGTTTGTACCTAAACTATTTTCAGAAATATTCAATCGGTTTTAAACTAATGCTTTAAATGTGAGTCTATCACAAGTCTGTAGATACCGTATATAGTTAATGTTATTAATTTATATGCTTATTGTTAGGATGCCATTCTTCCTCTACTCCGTATTGGGCAACTAACTGTCACTTTTCATTTTGATGGATTCAAATTCATTCGTACATAAATTATTTAATTCATTGAAATCCTGCATCAACTCGGCGAAGGTTGCCACATATTTTAAAAATTGTTTGGTGTTAAATCAATCTCGCGACTAAAATAGCGTTTGTTAAACTTGCTACCTAAAATACTAAACCAAATCCTATAATTAACAAATAAAAAAACAAACAAATATTGAATGACTGAAGCTAAAATATAATAAAGTAGTAACGTATTTGACTCAGTGCCGAACTGTGACTGGCAGTCTCTTTAATATGACTATAAAAAAAAATGACTTTATGACGTTCCATTGGCATTTACGTAAAAGTCGACACAGTTGGATTTTCCTAAAATCAATACAAATTTATTGATGTACAGGGTGTCCCACCGGAAACTTCATCAATCTGTGACGGGAGACCTATAAGTAGCAAAAATTTGAAATTTCGAAATTAAAATTTAGTGGGGGCAATCCGGCAAGATGGAGGCGCATCTGGATATACCAGAATTTTCTTATTTCTTTCTAGGTACCAATGCGCGTCTAGTGTACTCGATCGAAAAGAACGTGATCGAAGAGGAAACTGGTTCGCCGATATTCGAAATCGAATCGGAAACGGGCGTGATTAAAACCGCGGTGTGTTGTCTCGATCGCGAACGAACTCCCGATTATTCTATCCAAGTGGTCGCAATGGACGGTGGTGGTTTAAAGGGCACAGGAACGGCCAGTATCAGAGTGAAAGACATAAACGATATGCCGCCGCAGTTTACCAAAGATGAATGGTTCACGGAAGTGGACGAAACTGACGGGTCCACGTTACCGGAAATGCCCATATTGACGGTAACGGTTCACGACGAAGACGAAACTAACAAGTTCCAGTATAAAGTGATCGAGAATAGTGGCTATGGCGCCGATAAGTTCACGATGGTACGAAATAATGACGGCACGGGATCGTTGAAAATCGTCCAGCCGTTGGACTTCGAGGATCTCCTGCAAAGCAACGGATTTAGGTTTGTAGTAGCTTCTGATAGAATCGTTGATAGATCTAAAGCGGCTTAATTCTCGACTACCTATTGCATCAAAAAAGTTATTGACACGCTTACTGTCAACCATTTACTATCCGTTGACAACAAAAAGTAACAAAAACAAAAATAACAATATTTTATTTAAGTAATTTAACTATCTTCGGTAGTATACAAAAATCAATTTTCTATAAAAAATACAAATACAAACGAAAGACAAAATCTCACTCACAACAATATTTTAAAAATTCACTTCCGAGTAAAAACAATGTTTAAATACAAATATTTTTATAGCAAACTCAAACTTTTCAAACGTATAGCGGTCAACCACACTGGAACCACTTTTTAGACTTAGACTTGAAAGTTTTGTACTTCTCAAACTGGAATATACTTCTCAAATTTTGTCGTCGTATTATAATATTCATGAAAAAAAAGCAAACATTTTTTGTTTAAATGTAAAAGTTCGGATTTTCGGATTGTAAATAGGCACTACTGGTTCACACGACTGAGTTGGTTGATTCTTAGTCAAGTCAAAAATGAATGCGAAAAGTTTATTTTTTTGCACCCTTTAAAACTCCCAAATCTCAATTGCGCAGTAGTTCAAAATGGGACGTCCGTTCGCGATTTTCTATTAGGTCAGGCGAACCAGACATACAACAAAACCATTTTTTTATAAATTCAATTTTTGGAATATGTATATTATATTATAAAAGAAGTTAACACTTAAACAGTAAAGAGTAAAATAAAAACTAGAAAAAACAAACATATAACGGCTATAGAAATTTAAATTGCCCATGAGCTTTTCATGCACGCGTTTCCGCTACGGTGGGTTTGAGTTGAAAATGAAATAAAAAAAATCTTTCAAACTTTTTGGTAATTTTGTGGAAAGAGATAATATTCCGGAATTTGTATGTTTTAGGTATGGGGTGCAAAAGAAATGTTTCAGAAGCGACTAATGAATTTTTTGTTTAGATGTCAGAAAATATAAGGGCAATGAAACCATAAAATTTTCTCATTCTGCACACACTTAACTAGTTTGTCACTGAAAATTTAATGGGATGTTTTATTGATCTAAACCAATTTTTAAAATTACGCATTCGCATATAAAATATACCTTCTCAAAATTTTTCGATGTTCACTTCAAAATTATATTATATATGAGATGAAGCCTAGTTAAAAATTATCTCTTCCACTTATATTCAAGATTAGTATTGTTTTCAAATATATCTATAAAAAAAATACTGGGAAGTGTACTTTTTAAATGCCACACATATTCCTGTCCGTTTTTCTTTGGAACAGTAAATTAATTTTTATAGCTGGATATAGGACTCCAGGTTTCTTGTCTGATCGGTAATCGCTGTCTCCAATATCTTCATAATTTTATTTGCATACTTGTTCAATACTAACCAAAACAATAAGCGAAAACTAGAGAAAAAAGTGATCTTGAACAAAAAAATTTTATAAATAGCTGGCTTGATTTTTTAGTCAACGAACGAAAAACATTTAACATTCCATATATTGTGATGTACTATTTGAAATTTCAAAGTAGAATTTTTGAGTTTTCCAGAATTTTTAGTAGGTCGCTCAACATGAATTGCGATTCCGTTACAGATTTAGAATCCAGGTGAACGACAAAGGTGAAGACAACGACAACGACAAATATCACGTCGCCTATTCGTGGGTGGTCGTGAAACTCCGCGACATTAACGACAATAAACCTCTGTTCGAGAGGCCCAACATCGAAGTATCAGTGCCTGAAAACGCGGAAGTTGGCAAAAGTTTGGAAACTTTCAAAGCGGCCGACCCGGATCAAGGGGGCAAAAGCAAAGTTTCTTACGCAATAGACAGAAGCTCCGATCGCAAACGACAATTCTCGATAAACCAAGAGGGTACGGTAAGCATCCAACGGTCTTTAGACCGCGAAGACACGCCCAGACATCAAGTGAAAATTCTCGCAATCGACGACGGTATCCCACCGAAAACCGCGACCGCCACTTTGACCGTTATCGTGCAGGATATCAACGATAACGCGCCAACTTTCTTGAAAGATTATCGACCCGTCATTACCGAGCACGTAGCACCGAAAAAAGTCGTCGAAATTCTGGCCACCGACGATGACGATCGTTCCAAAAGTAACGGACCTCCGTTCCAGTTTAGGCTGGACCCTAGCGCCAGTGATTTGGTCCGGGCCAGTTTTAAAGTCGAACAGGATCAGAGTAAGTGTAATTCTGTTTATGCATTTTTTTTTCTTTTTCTTGAACCACGAATCTCCAGGAGAACTTTTATAACTTCAGAAGAGTTTTTTTTTTTCTCGGAAAATTGTAAGTACAAATTTTTGACTCTTAGTGATCGCCATGTGTGGCTAACGAAAACAGAAAATCGCTTAAAGTCTGTCCTACATCGATCTTCATCTGCAGGCAGGTATTTTCAACGGTTTTTTTGTTATTTTCAAATTTTAAATTTAAAAGTGTCGAATTGGGGCCGACAGAATCGCCAGATTGGGCGAATTATCCCAAACGGGCAACTAGAAATTTGTAAGTTTAGTTGTCGATTTGTGTATACGCAATTGTTCGAACGATTTAACATCAAAGCCCCTATTTTGCGACATTTGAAAATATTAGTAACTCAAGAACGGGTTAAAATACGACATCAATTTGTCGCAGAGGGGGCAAATGGCGATGGAATGGCCATCGTTACGTCGCTTAGAAGTTTCGATAGAGAGCAGCAGAAGGAATTCCACATCCCGATCGTGATTAAAGATCACGGCAATCCGGCCATGACCGGTACCAGCACTTTGACCGTTGTGGTTGGAGACGTGAACGACAACAAAATGCAACCGGGGGCAAAGAACATATTCGTTTATAATTATCAAGGTAAGTTTTTGAATCCAATGGACTTTCAAAAATTTGGAAAAATCGTGTTTACCTAGATTATTTAACTTTCTAGTTTAGATGTGTCTAGCTATTTATCCATTAAAATATCCCAAAGTTTTTGTTGCAGTCATATAAAGGTTTCATATTTTACTAAATCACGTGGTAAATTCGATGGAGCTATAGAAATAAAGGCTTTCTGAATTTGCTTGCAAAGTAAACTTTTATTAAGTTACACCAGTTGTCCTTCACATATTGATAATATGATTGATGGAGTCAGCGTACCGTAGCTGCCTAATATACGAAGTGTGTTCAAAAAGTAAGTTGACTTTTTTAACAGGGCGGGCGACGTACATTCGAACTTCAATATTTTTGTTGTTACGTTGGTACACATGTCCCTAACATATATTCACAGTGCACTTTACTTTTTTTGTGACACCGCAGCGTTAGATGTGTTTTGCGTGCTCCGCGATTATTGCTGTCAAAAAAATGGATCAAAGCATTTGTATAAAATTTTGCGTAAAAAATGGAACGCAGTGCTACAAACCACCTGAAATGTTGACAACGGCTTAGAGAGAATCTAGGTACAAGCTGTTCCAAATTGGCCGAGAAGATGCCGATGACGAACCTCTTTCTGGACTCCCCAGTATGTCAATAACTCATGCTAGCGTTGATGATGGTGTTGCAAAATCGTCGAATCACTATTAGAGAAGTGGCAGCAAAATTTGATCGTAAACTGCTCAATTTTGAACAGAAGGACCGTCGAAGGAGTATCGCTCAAGAGCTGTTAAACGACGACAGTAATGATCATAACTCGTATATGGTTATGAGGTCGAAACCAAAGTCCAGTCGTACCAATGGAGGAAAAGAGAAACTCCAAGACCGAAAAAAGCACGTAAAGTCCGATTAAATGTCAAGGTTTTGCTTACGTTTTCTTTGATTATCGTGGCGTAATAAATCAAGAGTTCTTCCTAAAAGGTCGAGAAGAAATACAAAGAAAACATCCGGAATTGTGGGAAAACAATTTATGGATTTTACGTCACGATAGTGGACCTGCTCACTCAGTGTTGCTTGGGTCTAACTTTTTGGCCAAAAAGAAAACCAGAATCATGCCTCCGGCACCCTATTCAAGGAATTTGACCCCCTGAGACTTGTTCCTGTTCCCAAAACTCAAGAAGCTCATGAAAGGAAATAGGTTTGAAATGATTGAGAAAATAAAGAAAAAATCTCTGGAAGCACTCAAGACTATATCAGAAAGTGCTTAGCAGAAGTGCTTCGAGGATTGGAAAAAACGTTGGCGCAAGTGTATTATATCTGGGGGGAAAATTAATTTTGATGAATAAATAAATATTTTTTGATAAATCTTAATACTTTTTGAACACACGTCGTACGATGATTATTCTGGTGATTACCGTCCCTGTATTTATTACTGTCCAAAAAACAATATCTATAAATTATTTTCAATAAATGGCTCAAATTTTTTAAAAAATTGATTTTTCTGATATTTTTTAATCAAATGTTGATTTGCCACATTTACAAAAATCAAGGATATTGTTATATCCTCCATCTGATACTCGACTCAACTGAAAATTCATTCCTTCCAAAACACTATGTGCACCGTGTGCCAAATAAAACGAACCATTATACTATCTGGAAACGCATAGGAAATACGAAAAAAAGTTTCATACAGATGTTTCCCACCAAAAGTGTCCCACCCGACTTCAACATTGTTATTTTAAATAGAACACAAAATTTTTCGACATTTTTGGATTCCTCGGTTAACATTAAAGAAATTTCTATTTAAATTTTGTAAATTTTGGCAGAAATTGAGGTTATGTGTTTTTTTCATATTTTGACAGTGCCTCATATAAAATTGTGTTGTGACTCTACTGATTTAGGTATTGCAACGAAAATTTGACTACGACTAAGGAGAGGATGCACTATTCAACTAGTTTGCCAGAAGCGGCTCATCTTATACAGGGTGTCCCAAATAAGTGGTGTCGTTTTGAATATTTTAACCAAGGATTCCAAAAATGTCGAATTGTATGCACTACTGATAACCCCCCCAAGTATTTCAAATTTCGTAATTTAGAAATATTCGACCGTACCCGTTCTCTGGGCAACCCCGCAAAATAAGCTTATTGTTCGTTAGTAGATTAATCATTTATTGCTGTTTCCAACGCATAGGTCAAGCTCCGGAAACGGAGATCGGTAGGGTCTATGTGTACGATCTGGACGATTGGGACTTACCAGACAAAAAGTTCTATTGGGAAAACATCGAACATCCTCGATTCAAGCTAAACGAAGACACCGGAATGATTTCAATGAGGCACGGCACCAGAGACGGGATCTACCACCTACGTTTCAAGGTTTACGATAGGAAACACACGCAGACGGATGTCCCAGCTAACGTTACCGTTACCGTGAAAGAAATTCCACACGAAGCTGTTGTCAATTCAGGATCGGTAAGGATCGCAGGCATCACCGACGAACAGTTCATCAGGGTGTGGGACTACAAACAACACGTAAGTGATTTGATGCGCATTTGCATGATTCCCGAACCTGCTCAAAACAAGTTGCTAGCGAAATCATAATACGTGTAGGTCCCAGCCAATCTAATCCGTTTTTTAAAACGAATATAATGAAAACGTGCCTTTAAACTACAAATTTTAATAAGGGGGTGGGAAATCGCCGTTCTAAAAATTATCTGAACGGATCAGGGGATTTATTGTAAATTAGACGCGCGGAAATGCGGAGGCATTATTCCTCTAAAATATTTTTAAATCCATTCCTTACGTAGAAATTTTGCTCAAAAAAGTTTGATTTTATTCAAATTACTTGTTTCTTTCCTTTTACTTCACATTTGAAATGAAGCAAGTGTTTTGTAGGGATGTTGCACTATTTCTCCTCCTACATTGTTTCGTATATTCCGAAAGGTTAACTTTTTAGAATACGAGTATTTTCGCACTCATTTGAAATGTTTGAAATTTGAAATTTTGTGTTTTAAGTTTTAACCAGTCCAGTCCGCTTTATCCGAAAAAGAAATACTAGCAAAAATTCACGAAAACTGACATCTTATTAATAAGTATAAAAATTTGCTCGTTTTTCTCAGTAGGTCAGGTTTTTATAGAGAAACCGGGAAGTCGTAAGAATTATAAATATAGTGGCATTTTCTTTTTTTTTTAATTGGCGCAGTGATAAATGTGCTTAGTTTGTATTTAAGCTTTTGTTTGTTCTCTAGCTCTCTCTCTAGCTCTCTCTTTCTCTCTCTCTCGCTCTCTCTAGCTCTATCTCGTCTACACATCTCGGTATTTTATTACTATCATAGCGACGAGGGATTATTGAAGAATGCAAGCTTATCTAAAAAAAAACAAATTTTCAATGCTTTTAGTATTACGAACGGCTTACAGCTTGTATTTTATTACTTCCTTCACACATGTTTTATTTACAGGATTTACCTAAGAGTATGGCTGAAAAGTTCCGTGATAAAATCGCAGATTTGCTGAACATAGACAGGGAGAACGTGGACGTCTTCAGTGTTCAGCTCAGGAGAAAACATCCACCAGTGACCGACGTCAGATTTTCGGCTCACGGCGGGTCACCGTACTACAAACCAGTGAGGCTCAACGGGATGGTACTGATGCACAGAGAAGAAATCGAACGAGCCGTCGGCATCAACATCACTATGGTAGGACGATCTAAACAATAACAGTATTATTGCCTAAATACGTATAAAAAAATCCAGACGTGTCTCAGCGCCAGACTAAATAATATTAAAAACGAAAGGGATTCCCTTTTTTTACCGACGGAATCCAATTTGGGCGATCGCTGTCGCTATCGATCAACTTCTTTAAACTCCACTCTGGAGTGTTATCGGGAGAATGTCAGCACTAATGTATCCTGTCGTTTGCAATTTACGTCGATCAATCATAACCGGTTTTTTTTCTTTTCCTGCTGTCGTTTAGGTCGGAATTGACGAGTGCCTATATGAGAACCAAATGTGCGAAGGCTCTTGTACCAACACCCTTGATATAAGTGCCTTGCCTTATATGGTAAGAAACATGTTTTATTAATTTTAATTATTATCCGTTTTTTTTTTATTAATTAAAATTCTACATTCCCACCTAAGTACTGGATCGTCGATACTAAATTGATTTATTGCTTTAAATGTTACTTAAGCATCTATCAACTTCTTCAATGTAATTGGTCACGAAATATTTTTTATTGTTCATTTTGAAAAAAATTATAATATACAATATATTTAAAATAAGTGTGTGATCTCCGAATTGATGTGATGAAATGTTGAATTGATCGAATCCGTGTATGAACGTGTATTTAAAAGTTTTAAAACAAAACAGTAATAGGAGTTTTAAAAACCGGAAAACATTGCCATTTCTCTAACAACTGCCGAATTTAACTGTTAAAAATTCTGTAATTTGAAATGAATTAGAAACAAAAGATAAGATATAAAACTCTCCCACGGTTTTACTGAAAAATTAATCCTCTAGTTATTATGATAACCACCATTGAATTGAATATTTCCATCACCTTTGTTTTAACCAGAAGTGGCAGTATCTTTTTAAATTTATTTTATTAAAATTTGGTGAAAACTACATTTAGATATGTTAACTCGTTTTTGAGCTACGGGTAGGTTTAGTATCCACTATAACTTCATCATTTATAAAAAATTATTTTTAGTCTTAGTTGCCCTTTAACTGCCCATAGGCAAACTACTCAGTCTATCTCTCAGTTAGTAACTGTATTCTAGTTAATTCTACCACATATTTATATTTTAATAATACAGGGTGAGGCAACACAAAGTTGTTTTTTTATACAACACATTTTTCAATTTTTCAATTCTCTTTATTCTCTTTGGCATGACTCATTTCGGTTTAGAGTTCTTCACTGATTCATTGCAGTCTAGATCATTGTGGTTTTGCTATCTTTTATAGATGTTATTTGATTTTACAAAAGACCCGGTTTTGATAAATATTTCTTATTATAAATTACTTACTCCCTCAACATTTTCATTTGTCTATATAAAACATTTTAACATATCATCATATCTTCGTTGCTACATATTTTAACACAAAAACAATAAAACAGTGAATTATAAAAAGATGCGTAGTATATATGTAGCTGTCGAGAAATGTTTTTTAATTGCTACGGTAAGCAAACTACTGTACAAGCACGATAATCGGGTTTTTCAGTGTTATTGCTTCCTATGTACTAAAAAATCTATTAAAAAATCAATTTACACTAAAAAGAAATCCTCTAAGTATAGAAGTTATAGCCCCGTAAAATGCAGACAATTTAAAAAACTCAAAGGCATATCGAAATATGGTTTTGAAAAAGTTATCTCGATTTGATTAGGTCTTCATTACAAGTGCGTCAAACTCTCCACAACCATCGAATGTTGGACACTGTGGAAATAAATTAAGAAAAGAACAATCAATATTATAAAAATATGTAAAGAGTGGGTTACTAATATTAAGAAGAATTGTGAAAAAATAGTCATAATAAATAAAAGGTATGTATGCGCTTCCATCGATACTTACTAGAATATACCTCCAGGTGAATGCAAACAAAACGGCATTGGTGGGAGTCAGAGTCGACGTACTAGCCGAGTGCACGTGTGGCGCCAGGAATTTCTCCAAAGAGGAGAATTGTCGGAACACCCCGTGCTACAATGGCGGGCGTTGCATCGAAACGCGCTACTCGTTGTCCTGTTCGTGTCCGGCGGGATATAACGGGCCGAGGTGTCAGCAAACGTCCCGCAGTTTCAGGGGAAATGGATGGGCCTGGTATCCGGCATTGGAAATGTGCGACAAGTCGCATTTGCACTTTGAATTCGTGACGCGCAAACCGGACGGCCTGTTGATTTACAACGGCCCTATCGTACCTCCCGAAAAAGACGAAATCATGGTGTCCGATTATATAGCGGTCGAGCTAGAGAGGGGCTACCCCAGATTACTTTTGGATTTTGGATCGGGCACGCTCGAGTTGAGGGTGAAGACCAAGAAAACCTTGGACGATGGAGAGTGGCACAGGTTCGTATTGTATTATTATTTACTTTGAAAGGGTTATTTGCAAGTACAACATCATCTTTTTGGGTGGACTGGTTGCACTACTTGCAAAGTTTAATAAAAGCACATGCATTTACTATAATAATAACAATAAATAAATTTATTTAGCGCTTGGCTATTTACATAAGGAAATTTACCTAAACAATCTATGAATTTCGCAATTTCCCTGTAAGCCTCTCCTTAAATGATCTTAGGCAAGACCCGTCTTTAATATCATTCTGCAGTTCATTAAAATTACTGACACCATCGTAGAATAGTGTTTTTTGTAAATTTGTAGTTTTTACTATCGAAACATTGAAGTGCTGATTGGAAGGTATATTATACTTATAAAAATTTGACCGAAAAATCAACATTAAACTTGCTCTTTTAATGAACTACCCAACATTTAGCCAATTTAGCTGGTCTAACGTACTCTGTATACGAGTATATCTATCGCAGTTCAGTGTGATTCTCATAACCCTATTTTGTTAAAACTATAACTTCTTTTGTAATGAACAAACACACGAAAAATGAGGCAAAATTATACTATTATACAGTAATATCTTAATCCTCTGTTAAAAAAATCGCGATACGCGGTTAAAAAACTCTATTTTCTTGAATGTCCGTAGGTCTTATTTGTTGTTTTGGAATAACAGGTATTATTGGTCGAAATTTAAAGCGACTTCTGATACGCATATTAAATTACCCTTTTCAACATATTTTCAAAAGTCCCTGTTTTATTCGAAAACACCTCCTTCGAAACTTACGCCCTCCCAAAACAAATGAAACGTTTTAAGATTTTTAAATATTAAATTTAAGCTCTACTTTATAGTTCTGAAACAATCTGAAATATTTCATTCTCACGTATGAAAAAAAAGTAATTTATTAATTTGGTCCCCATTACTTGCTAAATCCTTAAATAACACCAAAACTTTAAACAACCTTTTCTAGAGAGACATGTAAAAAAATATTATTTTCCCAAAAAAAATAGCCCCTTCAGCGACGCTCCCATACAAAATTTTATTAGTAATAACTTTTATTATCCAATCAGGTATCATTTGCGATCTAAATTCGATATCTTATCTGGTTCCTAATTGTGCCAATTAGTTTTTCTTTCAGTAGTAGTAAACGAAGGCGCTATTGGATAATTGCAGGTTGGATGTATTCTGGGACACCGAAAATGTCCGCATGGTGGTAGACTACTGCAAGTCGGCTGAAGTATCAGAGCTGGAAGACGGAACTCCTCCCGAATTCGACGACAGTAGCTGCCAAGCCCAAGGCACGATACCACCTTTCAACGAATACCTAAACGTGAACGCACCATTACAACTGGGCGGGCTATACGTGGAGCAGTTCGATCCCACCCATTACCACTGGCAATACATGCCCGTAGGTAAATCGTTCGACGGTTGTATCCGAAACCTCTTCCACAACTCGAAACTATACGATTTGGCCCATCCGGGCCTATCGAGGCACAGCGTCGCGGGCTGCCCCCAAACTGAAGAGGTTTGCGGCCGATCAGAGTCGACGTCCAGGTGTTGGGAACATGGAACCTGCGTCGGTAAGTAATTTTTATTAGTTCCATAATGAACGACTCATGTATTGGGTGCGCTGCAGGTAGCATGAACGAAGCTAAATGCCAGTGCCGGCCCGGATGGACCGGACCTTCTTGCTCAGTACCGACCATTCCTACAAGCTTCAAACCCCAGTCGTACGTCAAATACGCTTTAAGCTTCGAGCCTGATCGGTTCTCGACCCAAGTCCAGTTACGATTCCGCACGCGAGAAGAACACGGTGAACTGTTTCGCGTCTCAGACCAGCACAACCGCGAATACGGCATTCTAGAGATCAAAGACTCGCGACTCTATTTCCGGTATAATCTTAATTCATTACGGACAGAAGAGAAAGACATTTGGTTAAGTGCGGTGCCGGTAGACGACGGCCAGTGGCACGTCGCGCGGGTTAGCCGATACGGATCGGCGGCCACGCTCGAATTAGACGGTGGCGAGGGTAGACGATACAACGAAACATTCGACTTTGTCGGCCACCAATGGCTGCTGGTGGATAAACAAGAGGGGGTGTACGCTGGAGGCAAAGCCGAATACACTGGCGTTAGGACGTTTGAGGTGTACGCCGATTATCAGAAAGGTAAGAGTTTTAATCTTACAAAAAATATATTACAAAGCTTTTGGAAATCACCAAAACGCGTGCAAAGTTCTCTTTATTGCTTAACAAAATCCGTATTTTACCTGTACTCATATACCGAGGAGGATTATTATTTTATTATTTTAATAAACAAACTAAACCTTTTTTTTAATGAAACGCCTTATATGCTATTAGCTTTTTAAAAATGTAATACATACGGGATGTTTCAAAAACAAAGCATCAAAATATGATACACAATAATACAATAATCAAAATAAACTTGTAAGTGTGCTTATATGGGCTTTGACATCCCTATTATATCATTCATCATTGTCGAACATTTTTTTTCCATGGGCCTATTCATAAAAAAACAGAGCTCACAGAACTATGTAGTAAAATACACACAGGATGTTTCATTAAAAAAAACACAAGTTTAACGTTCATATCAAATTTTTAGAAAAAACTGATTACGCCACGTGATCCTAGGAAAAAAAAACTATCCACACCCTTTTTCACCTTTTCGATAATTTCACACTTAACCGATATGCAAAGGGTATCAAAATAACGGAAATCACTCTTGAGTCTTTTAAAGTTAAAATTATTATAATAGTTATCTTCATATGAGCCGTTCTGAAAATAACTTTAACAATAAAATATGTTGATATCTAAGTAGTAATCTGTAACTTTTTGAAAAGTATTTATTTCCAAAAATTAACCGACCACCAACCGGCATCTTAAATTACCAGAATTTCACACATTTATAAGAAATGAAATTAATCGAAATTTGTTCACTCTAGAATACGAACAACGCAATGGGTGTGGTAGTGGAAAGCACTCACTTATTTAACAGCACAATCTTCAGTTAACTTTAACAAGTCGCTAAAATACAAGTGCTGAATTTGATGAATCCGAGCACAAAATTTCAGATTCTAAAATATTCCATTTTATTTATTACTTCCTTGATATTTTGTCAGCATTATATGAATAATACTTATTGTAAAAAAAAATAGGAAAATAGGATATCATGAAAGCAAAAAATAAAAGTAACCAATGTCGTAAGGCGCGTCATCCACATTTATCAGTCACGCATAGCGTAGAATTAGCATTTGCAATTAAATTTGCAGTTAATCCGATAAGAAATGACATCTCGCGCGTCGGCCCAATTTCCGGTTGTCGCGTTCAGTTCCCTACAAAATATGCAACTCGCTAGACACGTAATACTCTCTGACATAATTTATTTCTCTATAAGGTGGTTTTGCTCACTACAAAAGCGAGAGCAATGAATTGCGACGCGATTTATGTCTACCTCGCAACAAGACGATATGCAAACAAAAGTATCTTTCCATTGAATTTAGATTGTTGTTTATTTTTTTAATCGTTTTTTTTTATTATTTTAACTATAAACGTTTGACTACTCAATTTCTCTCAAGATCATCGAAAATTTAATTTCCTAACTAGTTGGTTCTCCATAAAAAGGAAATATGGATCTTACTATCATGTAAGCAACCACATGGATTCCACCATTGGGATTTTTTTTGAATAACTGTCTGACTCCCATCACGGAAACTTGGAAACTTGCTGACGATAATCAGATCCTACGAGCATTAAGTTAATGTATCAAAATAGATAGGGTCGGTTACACCGGAATCAGATTGTCTAAGTTGGCCGGCGCATATACATAAATTCTTCACTAGTTTTCATCAAAAATGATTCTTTCCAATGTGGAACAAATTTATTAAGAATATCCGTTTATCTTTTTTTTAGACTGTCCTATTTGGGTTTAACGTCCTCGTAGACCGCGTCAAGAGCTACAATTTTTACACTTACCGTTTGGTAGTAGTAATTGGTTAGTAATGACATTTAAATGAAATGTTAGCTCGTAACACAAGATCAATTGATTCTAATGTTTGCCCAACGTTACAATATTTTCCCAAGATCCTCAAGTCAGTGGTTTACACGATAAAACCAACATTAAATAGCCTATCCATATAACGAATATTATATTCTTATTCTTATAAAGTTTCATAAACGCCCCTTTAGTCACGAGTTTATAAAGATGATAGACAATCAGACGGACAATGTCCAAGCCTCCAATTCCAATCAAATTAACCAATTAAATGTGTTTGATACTTTACTTTTTCTACGGCCCTTAGTTTTTAGATACATTTTTTGCAAAACAACTGACATGACCATCAAAATTGACAAAATTCAAGCCGTAAGGTAACATCTGCATAAACATCCGATGGCTCGCACACCCGTGCGGTAATGTCCGAAATGGCTCGGATCCGTGGGAAACGAAACTCACCTAGTAATATGACACTTTCCGCATGCTAGACCGGTGTATAATTAGGTATTTTACAGAAGAGAGTAGAAAAAAGCAATTGAGTTTCAAGTATGCCACCAATTCCTTTTTAAATTTATCACGATCATTTTATATTTCGAATATTAGCGGGCACTACTTCGTAGGTGCTTATCACCTTGTATGAATCTCCATATTTTAATATATACTATAGTTTCTTTCAAATAACTGAGATTTTTTCTAATGATATGAAGATAGATAAATAAAATATTAATTTAACACTATTAGCTAGGTTACGATCTAAAAAGCAATCCGCTAGGCGGTGCAGGAAAACCATGTTCTGGGCAGTCTACAATTTCACGAAGTCAACTTGTTTTATTTTTGCCGTTTATATTTTCTGAAGCTGTCGATTTGGCCATGTACAGAAAAAGCCACATATTCAGTTTGATCTAGACATCCAGTATTATAAACGGGCTTCCTTTCAATGGTTACCATTTTTAGCGATTCCGATTTGAAAAGGGTTTACATATTATATGGAAATAGGCGGTTAATGATACGCTGACATTGACGAAGGTATGTGGGCGCAATGGACGCCCGTAGACAAAAGATAAAGAATAGGATTCCCGTTCGCAGGTACGTGAATGCGAAACGAGATAAAAGCCGGTGGGCAATGGCCCGACAAAATGACAAATTCCCCACGGTGCTTTGCTCTAACGTTTAGTTTCGAAGTAAGTGGAAGCAGACCTAATGAATTCCGCTCCAACAAAGGTGTCAAACTAAAGTTACGGTAGAGTTGAAGCTAATGAGTAAATATATTTGCATTCTCTCAACCTTTGACGTCGGTAGGGTTGCACATATAAACCGCGTCCATCTATTGCCGTCGGGGTTAATTTTTATTCGAAATAGTTCGTGCGGAAAGTCGCTCGGAAAACGGAGTAGCCGATCGCAACATTTTTGCTAGTAATATTTGTTTAAAAACTGTAAAAACCAAACGATACTTAAGCTCTGGCGATTAATTTCAAGTTCAAGAAACAGCATCAAAAAAGAATGTCAGATAATATGAAAATGCTGAAATTTGCGATGCCGACCAAAGAAGCTGGCGACAATACTGGTCGTGAGACGTGGTGTGAAGAAGACTGAGAAAAGACTCTTAGTAGTGGTAGGAGCGAAGGTCGCTTGAAAGCAAAACCGCTGGTGTCGGATGTGGGGTCGGATGCATGTTCAATTGAATAAACCTTGAACCATTTTAATCTTCATTGATTTTAATCGTGCATTACACCAATTTTAGAATCATTAAATGGTATTTCCAATGGGGTGGTTTTATGAGCACAGCTTAATTTGATCCCCTCTTAAATCCCTGTTTCTACTAAGATTCCTCTCCTCGAAAACGAAGTATACGGGATACAATATTTTCAAAAATTGTCAATACAATTTTTGTGTTATATTTACAAAATTTTAGTAGTAACTTAGTAGATTAGATGACATAATAGGAAGTCAGTTGCCTACGCCTGGTTAGAGCATAATTGGGTGTTTTATATTAGGGAGTTGAAGAATTATGCTTAAAAAAAGTTACGCTGAAATCGGATTCACAACTTTGAGCCGTGTATTTCTTAACAAAGACTATGAATCGTTTTTTTTTGCGATTACTGCGCCACCTACAGAGAATCCAAAAGAAAACTTCTAATAAAATGTGACGTTTTTTGTAGTATAAAAAGCAAATCTGTAATAAAAAATGGGAGTTTGCATTTAAAGATTTCAAAGTTGTCATGTTTGAATGTTATTGAATAATTTTTTATTTAGTATTTAAAAGCATTTTGGTTTATTGTGTAATTCTCGAGATGTTCGACCGTTCCCATACTTTGTGGACACCTGATATATATTCTGTAAACTTGAACAATACTGATCGTGTAAAATGATGTGAGAGCGACTGGCAGTTTTCATGCCTGTCACTGTGAGGGTTACATAAAAGCGTAGCCGTTGGTGTCAGGTGTGGGGTCGGGTTCAGGTTTAATCGTCTTTGAACGATAGTCTTTAATTATCTTGATTGATTTGGTTCTTGCATTATTATTCAATTACTATTCTTGCATTATTATTCAATTACCAGCATTACTAGCATTAATTAATAATTGTGTTTTTTATTCGCAATGCGGTGGTTATATTAGAATAACTTTATTGGATGTTGCCGCCCGCAAAGTAACTTATATTTATTTATTTCTTCTTCTTTAGCTCATTATAGTTTTTAGTAATCCCGGCTACTACTAGGATTTCACTTGAAAACGAAGCACGCCTGGTGCCATATTTTGAAAAACTAAAAGGACTATTAGAAATTGCTCCACAACAAATATCGTCGTAAAACTCATGGTCAGTATTCCGTTATAGGTTGTCTAGACGACATAAGATTAGAAGGCAAGCATCTTCCATTACCACCTGCCATGAACGGAACCCAATGGGGCCAAGCCACGATGGCCCGAAATCTCGAAAGGAACTGCCCTTCAAACAAGCCTTGCGCGAACGTCCTCTGCCCGGAACCTTTCGAGTGCGTCGACTTGTGGAACGACTATGAATGCACGTAAGTTTTAATTTTTGTTGAGATGTTCGGAAATGTTTAGATGCCTAGGGGAAGTAGCATAAACTCTCCGATCGCCTGTTGCAGGCCATTGCTTTCTGCTAATGAATTTGTGAAAAAAAAAGATTACTTATTTATGTCCTAGAACAAGATAAATTTAATCAATAGAATCTAACCCTTTAAATTCAAAACAAAACGTTTTCATAGTTTCGTAGCTTTGTAACAGTTATTCCTGTGGCAACGAGGCCTAACAATAGAATAACCGCGTCAGTATTAACTATTATATTTTTCAAAGAAACAATAAATGTTGACCCCTAAAAACGGCATCCATTTTGCATAATTTAATATTTGTCCTAGATTCTTAAACATCCGCTTCAATTTTAGCTCACTTAAAACTTAAAACAGTTCATATTCAACTTGTTTTTCTGTAGTTTCTTTGAGAAAACTCTGTAGGAAAACAAAGCAGCCATGATAAAAATATTTGGATAGATCCGGATTGTTGCCGAAATAAAGTATCCGAGAGTAAAAAATTATGTCTACTACTTCCTCTAGCGCTCAATGGTATTTAATAAAAGCTAAATTGCACTTTGTCGCTTAATAGCGAGAGAAGTTGATTGCTCGCTAAGCGAAAATTACAAGCCAATTTTAATGGTGTCTGCAATTTAAGTTTTAATTTCAATTTAATCCGAATGATGTTGGTTTTTATTGAACGAGTCGGTGGACATTGAAGATACTTTTTCCACAAAATGCACCAAAATGATTAAATCTATATTAATACCTGCTGGAATATTTATGGCGTTAATTTACATTTTGGCATAAATTCGATTCAATTCTGTTCAATCAATGAACGCTATTAAATGGATTTTATTATTCAGTTGAAAAAAATAAATAAAAACAATTTTGCAATGTCACTAACCCAACAATTGTTTGGGGTTTTCAACGATTCTATTAATTCTCGAAAATTTTTAGCAATAACCCTGTATCTGCAGTTACAAAATAGATAAAATCCATTCGGTGATGGAAAACTCCATCAAGCAGAATCGATTCAAATACCACTCCATCGGTGATCACCATTGGGATATCCGCAATTAACAGTAAGCATAAATTAGAATCCCTTTGAAGGATATTATTTAAGAAATAATTTAAAAATAAATAAATAAATAATTTAATAAAACTCAAATTATATCTTATGGGATATCCTACAGAAAATGACTACCTTTTTTGTGTGTCAAATCCATATTATACATATAAGAATGAGAGTATGTTTCATTTGATTTTTGAAAGTTGGTAGCTATTATTAAACAATTACATTTTGGATGTTTATTTTTTCTTTTGAAATATAGCGGCTACAGAGGAAATTATGTTTTAGTTTTTTTGGTTATTGATAGTTAACAAAAGTCTATAAAATATTATTCTTTTATATATCGTTATAACTAACAAATAAAAGAAGTTATAACAAAAGAAATACATATGACACGTTTCAGGTTGTCTTGCAATAATTTGCAATAACAATAAATAATAATAATAATAATAAATAATTGCAAGGCTTCGCAGATTTTCTCTAATTTGTATGCGCTAGCAGATACGGTTTCCGATATATCCCAGTGATGAGCACAAAAATATTGCCCATCTTTTGTGAGAACAAATTCAATGAAACCAGTATGTCAATGTTTTATATTCCGTAAATAGCTATTCGGTAAAACGAAAAAAATCGTGTTGGTTCTACAGAAAAAACCAGCAACATTCAAATTTAAAATTGCACCATAGTTGCATTTAATATTGCAATCCACTCAAACACGCTATACCAAATTACACAAAGTGTACACAAGCTTTGTTTTAATTGTGACGGCACTGAGTATTTTACCATTATTTTAATTTTAATTTGTTTTGAGTTAGCTCACTGACTTCCATTAATCGAAAAGTTGCTTCGCAAATGCATTGACCGTGTCAATATCTCGGGCTTTATTAAAAGTTCGGTCGCAACGTAACAAATAAGACAATACGCGGAAATGAAAGTCGTCCTCATCTCGTGATATTCTTTTATTTCCCCTATCTATTCCATTCTCATTTCAAAATCAAGACTAATAATTGTTTTTCAAACAAGACAACGTTTTGATTGGTTCAGTCTTGCGTTTGGATAGACGACTGTTTTCTTTTAATTATGCTTTTAGATACTTTTGATTTGACCGGGCGAGCTACTTTTTAATTGCTTTCCTCTCTCGACATTGATTTCCTCCGGCTGAAAGGTTTTTGTTTAAAACTGAATAATTTTCGCATTGCAAAGACAAAGACCCGAGTTCGCCAAAGCAAAATTTTAGTGTTCGGCTTTTCCATTTATTAAATCATGTTTATTTTCCATCCTAATGTTGAACGAGAAAAGTTTTTATCAACCGATTTTAGCGTTGCATCCGCGTACTCTAATGAAAAGTAATTTGCGTTGTTGAGATTTTTGTTTGGATATTTTTGCTACTCTATTCGTTTTGAGTGTTTTTTTTTCATATGCACTGTTTATTTTTTATTAACAAACTAACTAAAACATTAAATACACGTGAGACATAACAAACTAACGTAGAAATGTAGTCATAATGCATGCTGGTAATATAGAGACTCTGTTGTATCTTTCTATATGTATCAATGCTTCCTCTATAATTAATTGGGTAGTACCCTAGTTATATGCTTGGATTGCAAAGACGGCTTTAATATATCGATTTGTATCAAAAAACATGGACGTAAATCGAAACAAATCTGCCTTAAGTTAAGTTTAAATGAATGCATTAAATTAAATCATCAAATCAATAATTGTTCTATATAATATACAGTTTGGTGCAGAAAGTTTGAATCAAACGATTTTTGTTAATATAAATTTAAACCGATAAAGTTTGCGCCTATTCGGAAATATTTTAACACACAGTGTAGAGCAAAAAGTGTGCAAAAAATAAATTAGCCTTATTTCCAAAAATTTGCATTAAGAAAAATTTGATATACAGTTTTTAACAGTTCAAGCAAATTTCCTACAGTGACATATGATATTTGCATAAGTGACTAGTTTTACAAATTTATTCTGGATAGATAAATAGAGCTTGTTTTTAAGTTCGCTAGCTTTTCTGAAATACATTTCATATCTGTCACAAGTATTTTTAATTTAATTAAATTTTAAACACCTAAAGGCTTTCCTCGCCTTTTCATTTTCTAAATATTAAACGATACTCCACTCACCAATAACGGATTTTTAGCACTTAACATGAGCATTATATTGCTTTTGATTTTTATTACCATAATAATTGTATATTTTTATAGACTTCGAATTTATAGGATATTGAAAATCTTCTTAGATTCATTTGATTGATTTTCTTCACCGCTCAATCACAAATTATAATTCATCCAAAAAGACTTACTTTGCCAAAAAAGCTTTGCAATATAGATAATATTAAGTAAGTGGTATGAAATCTAGCAAACAATATCAGTCACGACATAAACAAGTCCGGCACAGTATATAAATTAAAATCTTACTGATCCCTATAATACATTTTTTGAATGTTAGTTTATTTTACTATATATTATATAATACAAAATATTATATAATACAAACAACTTTTTTGAAAGTTTTAGTGAGAAAAAATTTGCCATTATACAAATAACAATACAAAATGAATTAACAACTCGAACCCTCTGGTTGACTTTGCGCTATATTTATTGATAGAATATAACATTCGTATGGACGCTATTTCTATTTAACAAAATATTAGCTGCGGAGAGGGGCGAGTTATGTCGCCGGACAGCAAAGATTGCACGGACAAGGACGAATGCTTAGACTTGCCCTGTCTGCACGGAGGGACCTGTATCAATTTGGAGCCCGATCTGCGGTACCGCTGCGAGTGTCCCGATGGTTTCTGGGGCGAAAACTGTGAATTAGTCCAAGAGGGTCAAACGCTCAAACTTAGCATGGGCGCGTTGGCGGCAATTTTGGTGTGCCTGCTCATCATTTTAAGTGAGCATTAGAACCGGAGCCGTTCATTTGTATAATGATAAATATTGGGAATTAGATAATGAGCATGCGTTGAATAGACGTAGACGTAGGATGCATGTGTGTGTATTTTCCAATCGAAGCTTACATAATAGTATTAATCTGATTTATTATACGAAGCTTCATACTTTGCACTCCATTGATCACCATTAATTGTTTCAGTTAACTTATCAAAACACTAAAATTATTTTCGTACTAGCAAAAAACTACGCAATATTTGTGACGTTGTATGTATATATAAACATTGTCAGAAACGAATGTCGTAGCAGGCACCATTTCTTCCCTCCACATTAGAAAATCCACGAATATATTTCCACGCGGAGTTTCAGTTAACTTATCAAAACACTCCATATTTGTGACGTTGTGCAAATATATAAACATTTTCAGAAGTGTGCTTTTAAACCTATTAGTGACACTATTTGCTATAAAAGAATATTCCTTCCACATTGGAAAACCCACGAATATATTTTCGTACGTTTCTATTTAATTGTAATATGTACTAATATAATAATAATAATAATAATCATAATAATGGTGGCTTAGCAAGTTTTGGAATTAATAAAGACTTGTTTGTAAACATAGATCGAACAGACCAAACAGTTAATTGATAATTAGGTTCGAAAGCCTAAAAACATATTATGTTCAAGGAGACAAGACAAAATAAGTCAAAATCGGCAACCAACACGAACAAATGAATGGTGCACATATTAGTACCAGACGTTCTATGATTTGGTTCAGCCAATGACGTTCTACGTTTGGAAATATCAAAGGTTTCAGTTTATGAGCTGCTGTGCGATATTACCATATATATAGGCTACCTATTAAACTTGACAAAATTTCCAATAATTTTAATAGCGCTATATGGGGTTAATGGATAGAATTACGCGAACATCTTCTGGGAATTGTTAAAAAACTTGGGTTAGGATGAGGTTAATTTTTTTCATAAGCCTCGTAAACCACAAATCAGATTGCGCTGAGTCTATAAAATGAAAATAACAAATAATTAATATCAGACCAACTAAAAATAACATTTTAACTATAAAAGGTAGCTAAAACAGAGACAATGTATGTGTTCAATTGATCTGTAGTTACATACCTATATTTTACAGAATAATAGAAATAAATTAACATTTTATTGAGTATCCACGACGTTGGGAAACTTTTAGTTCTTCCAACCTACGGGTTGCAGAAATTTTACTTATGATTTCAAGGTCCTCATTAAGTTATGCCGCAACCTGATCAATATGATTTAATTTGAATGATCGATATGGATATGGACAGCATAAACAGAGCCTGGCCCTAAGATTCTATCCTAAACCACCCCTTTTCTTTCGACACATAGCTCTAGTGCCTCAATAGTCAATGTGACACTTTGATCCCAGTTTCAAAAAGTTTCCAAAAAATTAAAATGTTGCATTACCTAGACCAAAATATCTTGCACGTGGCACAGTCATTTTGTCCAAAGTTTTGTGTAATCCAATAGAATTAGTTAAACATGTTGTCACTATTGTCACACGATCTAATCAACAATAATCCAAAGTGAGGAATCACAAATTATATGTTAACTGTCACTATTCCTAATTCCTAATGGACAATTAATGCTGGTGTCTTAAAATTGCATTTTTGTATTAAACGGCGATCTTTAAATATTGTTTGCAAAAAAAATATATTTTATTAGAAAATAAATTCGGTACTAAGTTTGTTCCGAACCAAAAAAAAACGGATCAGGAAAGAGAATAAAGTTTAACACTGGATATTGTTGCGCCCCGAAAATCATTTTCACACAACTGATATTTATTCTCTTGTTGATTTATGAAGGCAACCATTAAAGATCGGATGGAAAAAACTAATATATGGCGCAATCATAATATTGTGATTCAAATGGGATGGCCATATACTTTGTTTTGATTAATAACCGAACGAGAACGGTTATAATTTTAGCATTGAATTATTGCAGATTTATGACCGAATCAGCAGTGGGATTATTAATAGCTGTAATAAATGCGTGATAGAATAATTGGTTGCTTTTGATAGAATTAATAACGAATTAGATTTACGTACGTTTCCAAGAATTATTTTTTACTCGTTTAGTTGGCGTGTTTAGATAACGGGTTGTGGCAATCTGTAACCTATTCTGTTCTGCTTCGTTTTGATTTCAGCTGCCATTTTGATTTAGCTATAATTAGTTTTGAAGATTTGACAAAATGACTTCATTCGATTCCTTCAGAATTATTTTTTCTACTTTTCTCAAACAAGACCACTTCCAGCGTTTTTTTAACTGGGAAGTGGTGAACTAAAGACTCATAGTTGACTCGTTTATATTAGACTGTACATCTATTATCTATTATACCCGGCTAATTATTATTCATACGTGTTGGATTATCAGCGTTTTGAAGGTGCACCACAAATGAGATCATGGAACACTGCGTGTATGAAATAAAAAGCAAGTTAACAGAGACAAACGCAACTCTGCTTATTATCGTATTGGCCCCAATCCAAATGCACCACGAGATTTTTAATCGACAACTCAGCGCTAATATGATCGTATCGTATATCATGTTTTTAATTGAATAAACAGCCGAGCACCACATGAAAATGCGTTTTTGTTATTTTTGTCCGCGGTAAACCCCTATGGTCAACATTAACGAAATGTTCGGGTTTTTCAATGTGGATCAGAAATTAAACACTCTCGAAATAATCAGTTGTACAGGGCGTTTGGTACATATTGTATAAATAGCAGAGATTATTTTGAGCCGATGTCACCATTACTTGCATAGATTTGGAGATAACGGCTTTTTTCTAAATAATTTAAAATAATTAAATTAAATTAAAATTGTTATAAACTAATTTTATTAGACTTATATGCACTTCATCAAAAGATACATAAGAAAAGCCAAATAATTTTATGAATTTATGATTAAGCAATGTCTATAAAAAATACATTTTTCTACTCCAGCCTGTAAAATACTTAATTACACACCGATCTAGCATGCGGGAAGAGTCACTTTACCACGCTAGTTCCGTTTCCGGCGGATCCCAGCCACTTGGGACATTTCCGGGATTTTACAGCACGGGTTTGGGAGCAATCAGATGTTTTCGAAGATATTTCTCACGCCTTTAATTGTGACATTTGTCAATGCTGACGGTCATGCAAGTCATGTTATTTTGCGAAAATATACCCCAAAACTAACGGTCGTAGAAAAAGTATAGTATGCAACACGTTCGGTAAACTTTTTAAGTCACCCGCTTATTAAACACTCGCTCCGCTTGTGTCAAATAAACTCGTAGTTCAAATCCCGTTACCGCACTTGTTGCATAATGTACTAATTAAATATAAAATTAAATAAAATCTAATTTTGAACCGATGTATTTCTTCATAGATAATAATCATAATTTCATAATATTATTATTTGTATTTTTTTGTATAGTACATCCTCGTTACTAAAAAAAAAATAAATAAAACTATCGAGAGCTGCTATCTCTAAAACAGTGAGACTTTGAAGCAAATATCAATTCTGGATTCTGTGAAAGAAATTATCCGTTGATAATTCAATTTATCTATGATTAAGTATTTCTTACTTTTTAGAATAAAAATTAATTTTCATTTTCGGTTAGTTTATGATTAAACTAAATAAATCTTCCAACGCAGGGGCCTGAGATACTTTCAGGAAAATTGGAATGAAGTGATATTTTCAGCAGAAATTAATTTTTATTTCAAAACGTATTAGTTCAGGGAAACTTAAATAAAATTCGATTATCTTCTTTCATGAAATCGTAAAAATAAGAACTCACTGCAATTTCCTCAAAAATTAATTTTCGCTATTCTATATCATATTGCATCATTTAGAATGGCGAAAATTAATTTTTATTTCAAAACACTGAAAGAAATAAAGGTTTTTTTTTTCGTTCGAGATCCATTCTCCAAATTATTTCTAGTAGCGATCTATTTATCACATTTTTTACCAACATTTTTATGGAAACTTTCATTTTCATATTGCTACACTTAATAATAAATACAACCAAGAATGAGGGGATATCTGAGAAAAATTATACAATTATACCAAGTGAATAAAATCCCTCCTCTAACTTAATATTTGATGCGAGATATGAAGACGTATTTAAAAAAAAAATAAAAAATAAAAATAAGCTTTTATGCAAAGTATGAAGTGTCCGAAGCCACGCGCATTTCACAAACCAATTCCCCACCGCAATAGCCTGCGTTCATATCACCATATTATACAACAAAATACCAGTGCCGGCGCAAGTAAATCTTAAAAACTTAACGTGGTAAGTAAATCCCTTGTGTTCCGGATAATCAGATGCCCGCAAGGTTCCCGCATTAACGAAGGCACCTGCGTTAACGAAAACGAATGCCTCTGGTTGCCTTGCATTAATGGAGGTATATGCCGGGACCACGACCCACCGAGGAGGTACACCTGCTTATGCCCTGTGGGCTACACAGGGGACCACTGCGAATTGGAATTTTCTTCTGCGGGTGCTATCATGCCGTCGAAAGATTTCATTTTAGTTGTAGTGTCGTGTCTGTCGATACTATTGGGTGAGTACTGTGGGAATGCTTTTATATTTTTATACATTTTTCCAAGATTCTTCGGTATGTTTTTGCCACGAACATGGCTGCATGCTCGTTATTTGTGAATTTTATGCCGTTTGTACGCAGAATAACGAGTCTTGCAATTTGACTGTCACTCTGAATCAGTAAAAGATAAAGAGGATCGCTAATCCGTAAATATTAAAAAGTAAATTGAGTCATAAATTTAAAAAAAAAAACTAGTTGATTTGTTTGAACCAATATTAAATTCCATTAAAGTACAGTGCAACCTCTTTAATCCGAACGCCTAATTGTAAGACCCAATCCATATTATTAAATTGTCCGGATTAAAGAATATACAACAAAAAATATCTGTATAAGTTTTTACATTATAAAAATGTATGTATAATAAATTGTAATGTACCTTATGAATGTTATTTTAAAGAACAAAAACAAACCTAAAAAATGATACATTGTTTCCTGAAACTGTAAAAAAAAATGTAATTTTTGTTAGTTTCTTATTTTTAAATGCCGCATCTTGAGCTTGATTTGTTAATTCCTGCAAGAACAAGATTCGATGTTCGGGAACCTTATTTTGTATTGCCCAAGCAACAACACGAAACATGGAGTTTTGGAAATATCGTTGGAGTTCTCATCAGAATCTTCTACAACGTATCCAATTATACTAGCTTCAGTCAATGCGTCGCTGATTTAAAGCAATTAGCGACGCATTGACTGAAGCTAGAGACTCTTCATTCGTTAAGCTCTGATCATTTTTTTTACCTAACTCCCTAATCTCTTGCAGATCATTTGGAATCTCCTTGGTGTCCGAATCTCAAATTTGTCTTACTAAGCGCGCCAACGGAATGTCGTCTTCTTCGTCACTATCATCAACATTTGGAACCAAAATTTTACTCCAAGATTTTGTAATTAAGCCATTACCCATATTCTACCAAGCCTCGTTCAAAGAGAAAACAACGTCCTTCAGTGCTATATTATTCAATGCTTGCGTAATATCAGAATCAGTCGCAACAATTTCTTAAAGCAACTTCTTAAGATAAAATAGTTTTATAGCCACAGGTATTGCATCAGGATATAAAAGTGATTCGTTCTTTGCTAACTTTTCGTCCTAAATCAAATTTTTCTCCTGAATGTACTAAGGTTTTATTTGGAAGAACTCTCCATGAAAGCCCACATTCACCAGCATGATATACTTGATGGGGAGTTAGGTTTTTTTTCCTTCATTATACCAGCAAACTTTTCCACAAATGGCAAAACTGCATCATAGTCGCTTAAAAGTGATCCTACGTAAACTGTTAACTGCCGGATACCAAATCTTTTCTTGAATTTATCAAGCGATTTTCTTTAAAATTGTATTTTTTTGTTATTTCTTTTTAGAAGAACTTCTCACGTAGAAGTTCCTCAGAAATTGGTGTACCTGTAAAAAAAGCTGGGAATTGTTTCAAAAATGAATCGCAAGATTTGATATACTGCCGGGATCTATGAAGTTAAATAAAGTTGTTTAAAAAAGGAAAAATCTGATATTCTATAACGATTAACCAAAATAAAATTTACCTTTTGTTCTTTCCCGACAGAACCACCTAAATAACGACTTTTCGATTTTAGGATTTGCACTGATTTTTGCGTTATATGAGCTACTGTAGCTTTTGCGATCACATGCTTTATAGTAATGCTTGAATAACTCGTACCGACATCAATATCTTTTATAACTTGGACTTTTTAAATCTAGTGTTACGTGCTCTCTTTTTGGTACTGCACAACACCTAAGATTCCTACAACTATGCACTTTTGCCCTCAATGTTACGAAATAAGATGGTAACGCGCTGCGGGCTTTTTCAGGTTGTTTCCTATAACATTCGGACTTTCGCATCACGACATTGGCGTTAGGATTATTGTAATTCGAATTAGCGTGGGTTCGGATTACCAAGGTTGCACTGTAGTTCTAGAATTAGAAAATGTATCAACAAACCCACAGGAGATATACTGACTGTTGTCAGCAAAAATGTGATTCAGCACTCGGGTTGGACATGTGTCCATATAAGATAAACCTTACGAAGAAAAGATATTGCTCTATTAAAAAATTGACCATTTTTTATTAAAATAATTGTATGTTTGTAGAATGATAGACCTCAATTCACAATTCACAAAAGTTTTGTAGCAAAATTTACATCGTACATCAAAAATTTGAAATTTTAATTTTATGGCCTATCAGTGCTAAAACTTTGTAATGCAATACCAGTCTGAAATTCATTCATACAGCGCTACCATTTCATATACACAATTGCAATTGAAAAAGGTCACATCCTTTTTATTTCAACATTTGTTCTTAAGTTTGATTAGTTTTAGTTATCATATTGGTAAAATTTGAAATTTCAATAGATTAATTCAGATTCGTTTCCTGCTGGGGGATCTTTTATAAAAGAAATAACTCAATTACTTGATCCTTCGGCAGTTACTCATTTAGTAATTTCTACTTCTACCAAGCTTCAATTTAAACAAGATGAATGAGAAAACAGTAGATAATTAGCAATGTTATCTCCCATCCCATATGCCCGTACGCCTAAAACTGTAGGTTATAAACAAATTTGCCTGCAGCGGCTAACAGTTGCGCCTACAGCCGCTGCCCTGGTTTGTACAGTTTCAAATGGATGCCCACGCTGCAGCGGCTGCTGTTCGACTGCTGGCGAAGCAGTCGAGCGCCTGAAATCGTAGTGACTAGGGCAAAAAATGGCGCCATTTACATCAAATGATGAAATTTTGATGAACGAAATACAAAAATATCCCGTAATTTATGATTATGAAGACAACAATTACAATAATTTTGTTAGTAAAGAAAATTGTTGGATAAAGGGAGCTAAAAATCCAAAAAGAAGATTAGTATCATATTGTAAACAAATTTATGCTATTTTAATGGTTAAATCAAAATCTATACGATGAGTATCAATGCGAGGATCAATATTACTTTCGAGAGTTATTATATTATTATTTAATTTATTATATTTAATATATTAATTAATTTTTAGTTTATTTATTTATTCTTAAAAAAATTTTACTTGCATAATTATTTTTCTTACCTTCGTGACAGAGCCAATTTTTCTTCGGATGTGATGGGATATTTAACAAAATTTGGAAAAATTGGAATTGATCCGGATTCAATCGGAAAAATTCCCTAAACTTTTTTTCATCTTCTTTTAGATGATTATTTATTAATAAATGAAAATAACCTTCCACGCGTCGCCTTTTAAGCATATCATCTAGTTTACAGCTTTTTCTAGATAACATTTGGTAAAATTCTTCTTCATCTTCCTCTTCTTCTGATAAAATTAATGTTATCCAATCGTCGTAATCCATATTTTTTAATAAACCCCGCGAAATTTAAAAAGCTAGAGTCCGCAGTCAACTGCTGCCTAGAACTGCGTTCACGGAAAACATTTTCATCGCGGCTGCATCTGCCGCGGCCCGCGTCTCTAGTCGAATAGCTCGAGTAGCACCACTGAAATCGCACCGTTAGCCCTATTTCAAACCAATTTCAAAATTTTCAAAAGCACCAAGTCTTATTCATGTACTATGCAACCAACAAAACTAACTATAGTTTTCACAAACTTAATGAAAATATCTATAGCTATCCTTAATGGTGTGTTCTAATCACCGTTTCAGACCTTTGGCTGTTTGAATAAAACTGAACATTTTCCACGCCTTTTCCGAAGAGCAAAAATTTCGTTAGAGGAAATGGCGAACCGTTAGACTTAATCTCGGCTTTGTTTTATTTAATATTCGCGAGTTTCTCAAGAAACTTACCGAGAGTTTAAAATTAAAACTTCTAGTGACAATGTTAGCTTCTTAGCGACGCTAATTTGTTTTCGCTTTGAAACTTAAATTACCGACCACGCTCTACAAAGTAGTAATCATTTCTGAGGAAGGGAGTAATTAAATTTTAACAAGGTTTGTCTTAAAATTCGCGATTTGGGGCTAAGAGTGAACACCGCTTCTGTATACGATACGGAACCTGCGATAAACTTTGCGATGAACTTAGGAGAGCAAACGCCTATTTGCTCAAGTTTTTAGGGTATATGTGGGGAGGTTATAATTAAATGCCGTTGAGACCGGTAATTGGCTCTTTTTGGAATGTAATTTAGACGTACCTGCAAAGAGATCGACTTTCAGCTGTAATAAGTTTCTATGTTGACTTTTGAGAATGCAACTTTCAAAAATGCTAACGGCAGTGTTGTGTCAAAAATATTGTAACGATTGAGTTTCTTTAGTATACACTCAATATTAATTTTAGTTGTAAGGTTTGACAGTCATATCCTCCCCTCTGCACCATCAAGGAGGTCATTTATCAATATGGGTATCCATCTATTTATTTTTATTTAATATAATATTTTCATCATGTCCAAACGGTTTTCAATTAGTTAGAATCACAATGTTGTGGACCAGCATTATATTAAGCATGAATATTCGAGATGTACACAACGTTGATTAATTCCTCATTTTCTATTCGAATAATAAACATCGTGTTTCTATTCATAAGTGGGAAATTTATTTATATATCTATATATCTATGTATGTATTTACGTATGTATGTATGTATGATGTATGTATGTATGTATGTATGTATGTATGTATGTATGTATGTATGTATGTATGTATGTATGTATATATGTATGTATGGATGTATGTATGTATATATCTATGTATGGATGTATGTATGGATATATCTGTGTGTATGTGTGTATTTATGTATAATACATAGCAAATATTTCGAGCGACTTCCGTACGTGAAAAGCCATTCATGTAAGTAGAAATAAGTATTGGTAGATACATTGTATGCCAGTACAACAGGTAGCGTAAACAATAAGATCAATGAAGTTATTTAATTACTACACAGTTTTGTATGGGATGAGCAAATTTTAAGCGAAATAATAATTTTGAAAATATGTTCAAACAAGAGTTCAAAGCGTTCGCGGACTAATTCTGAATATTAAAAATTATCTCTGCATGCATATCATCCATGATATTAAGGTTTTGAATTAATTCGTGTCCGCTATCGTATGCCACAAATAAATTTCCTTTTTCAGTTCTAGTATTAGTGTTCGTGGTATATAACCGAAGGCGTGAAGCCCACATCAAATACCCGGGCCCAGACGACGATGTCCGGGAAAATATTATCAACTACGACGACGAGGGAGGCGGCGAGGACGACATGACAGCATTCGACATTACACCCTTGCAGATTCCCATTAACGGACCCCATCCGGAGATTGATCCGAACAAAATTGGATGTGAGTTAGAACATTTGTGTTATTCGTTTATATTCCCCGTTTTTAATCTAATGCATTTTTATTCTCGGCAAAATGGACGTGGGAACATGGTTTTACCAATTCATAAAAAATAATAGTAATAAACGTTTCATACAAACAATGAAAAACAGAAGAAAAATAGTATATTATGTAAGTTTGCAACGCCACTTTGGACACAAATTTAATTTCGCACGAGCGGTGCGATTGTTTAATAAACGAATGATTGAAGACGTTTACCAACATGTCGCACACTTTTTATGCGACCATTAATATTTGGGAATATTTTTAAAGAAATAGTAGGATGTATGACGTGACATAACAAACTAAAACTTACAATCGCCAAAATACTATCAGAGAGGCCGAGGATGGCCTCAGATCTTCCAACTCCAATTGCGCAATTTTTTGGGTTTTATGAAAATTGTTATTAAATTTTCCTCGCCAGACGCCGGAAAAATTAACCCAATTAAATAAATACAAAAAAATACTATCAGCAGACAGCAGGCCATTTAAAAAATATGATATGAAAATGAGGTCCTCACACAATTTTTATGCTTCAGCTTAGTTTGTCAGTATATTCTTAATTTCTTTTATCTTCAGCTGACACTGTGCGAGAAATATTTCTCAAACTCTTTCGTAAAGGAAATTCCATTTTTCTGATATAAGGCAACGTGCGGCCGAAATAGCAATTTCAAGGAGTGCAGTAATAATTCTTCTTCACTGTTGTTTGTTTCCATTTTAATTATTTTCTAAATAACTGCGCCACTTCGGTAAGTTGACAGAAAACAATAACACGGTATTTTCATAGAAACAGAAATATAGAAGCTATTTCGCCACATAACTTTTTAATGGATAATAATGTGTTCATTTTACAAACAAATATTTTTCAATACAGCTGTAGAAAAACTACTGTATACAACGTGGTTGCCTAAATAGCTGTTATCTATGAATAATAATAAAATTCAAGGTTTGTGCAAACATTTTCGTTGATAACTTGCGTGCCTCCCCTTAAATCTATTCTCCGCATTGCTTCAAAGGATATCACATATTCTATTTTAATATCTCAAATATATAACTGCATTTAGATTCAGTCTTTTAAATCTAATCTAATTATTGACAGGATTACTTGAGTCACCTTCTGCCCAATAAAAAATAAATATTAGTACCTGACTCTGTATCGGACAAAAGAGTAGGTGTGTAGGAAAATTTGAAATTCGAGGCTGCCGCTCAGATATCACAACTTTCACAACTAGGCGAATTTTTAAAATAAGGTATTTTTTTGAAAATGTAAATTCATTGAAAATATCATTTTTGTCTCTTTAAACAGGGTAATAACTAATTACAAATAACTATCAAATTAAGCTTTTGATATATAAAACAAGTTTGATAAACAGCATTTTAGGCATGAGTTTGATTTAGCATGTTCGGAGTTCAGCAAAATTGGCGCTTAAACAACATGCGTCGAAAAAAGTTTATTAATTTATTATTATATATTTTTTGGATACATTTTTGCAAATACCGTAGTGTTGGAATTCCACTTGATCTCTGCTGCAACAGAGGTGCTGTGAACTAACATATTATACTGTAGAGTTTAGTATAATCGTCGGCAATATGAAGCGCACTCTGTGAAAAATTACATGATCCATATTAATTTTCAGTTACAATGTTGGGCATTGGACAAGAACCCAATGTGGGAACTTTTATCGAAGAGCATAAGAAACGCGCGGATAATGATCCAAACGCGCCACCTTTTGACGATCTGAGAAATTACGCGTACGAGGGCGGCGGCAGCACAGCCGGTTCGCTCAGCTCCTTAGCTTCCGGTAAGTTTCCATAAGGTTCGTACTTCCATATTACTATTATTTAGCTGTTTGAATTATTGTCTATCTCTATAATTACATGTTTATTAAGGTTTTCGTAGTTCGTTGCAAGCTTAACTGATCGTCGTGTCTAATTTATAGCGCGGTAAGTAATTGTTGCACAGAACACGAGCTAAAAAGCACAACCAGCATACCTACTATTGGTTGTCTAGGGTGGGCATGAATATTGGTTTTACTGTTTCAGTGTTTCTATATACCGATATCTAACTTTTGACTTGGGAGGTACTAGATGTCTTGCTTCCTGGAATGCGCAATACTTTACTAATATTAAAAAAATAATATTTTGATTTTCTTTTTGAACTATATTTATTTAAAAATGGGAGTTGATCCACATTACTTGTTACCAAATGTGTATTGAATTGAATTTCGTGCGACGTGGGAAACTAATAATTCATACGCAAGCCGTCATTTTTCAACTTTCCAAATAAATTTTTTAATTGACTCAATAAATTTTTCCTCTACTTTAGCAAACACCCAGTAAAGAATAGTCTTGATTAATTTTGCACTGCAGATGATCGGTTATATTCTATTATATTCTATATTCTACAAAACCTTGCCAGATATCCTACTTATATTTTATGAATGTCTTGAGACCAACTTCCAGACTTCTCTTCTATGACCTATTAGGAATTTAATCCCTATTTTTATATTAATTGAGAATAACTAAAACATTTCAGTGGTGTCCTTTTAACATGTAAATTAAGATAAAATAAGATTAGCATTCTACCAATAGATTAAGCTCAGTTGACACACTTAGACAAAAGTACTTAATATATTTCATTATAAAGGAAAGCGGAGACAACAATTTCAGCTTTCCCGACCAAAACTATAAAGGACATTTTTAAAAATATCGAAATCGATAAACCCAACATTTTTTGATAGTACTCTTGGCATATGGCGAACTCGGCCCGGTCGGGTGCGGCATTTGGTACCTCCTCCTTTAATACATTTTGCTATGTGAGTCTTTATAGTCTTTATGACTCACCAGTTGAAGCTTAAATTAGTGCAGCAAGTTTCCCAATAGTAATGTCAGGAATCAATATGCTAAAAGTCGGGACTCTTTGTTAGGTTGAGCAGTTTCAGCGCTGCAATTCAATCAATAGCGAAATATATTCAATAAGAACATTTTTAAAAGTATATTTCCGTGTGGAAATACATTTTCGCGCTTTTGCTATAATTAGCTTCATGTAGTCTCTTTTGAAGTACAACGAACGCTTTAAAGGGAATCGTGGAATTTGAATTCGAATTTTAATAAGAACCAAAATATCTGTCTCCCGCATGCGATCGTACACGCCAGCTTGAAGACACCGTTTTAAAATAATAAATTTTCCCTTCATGCAAAAATAAGACTCACTATGCATAGACAGCACTACATAATATTTCATAGTTTGTTCGCCAATGGATTTAAGTTTGTGAAGGTTGATTAATGAAGGAAATCAAAATCTTGTTTCTCACTGATAGACATGACAGAGAAACAGCCCAATGTATGAACCAAACGTCAAATCGATTTGAATAAAATTTTATGCACTTTATACCCACACTTGTAAAATATTTCACGAGCTTTCACATTTCTAATAATTTGTTTATGTGCTACAGGGAGTTTCAGTTTTGAGTTTCGTAAATTTATTCGCTGATTCTACTTTGGCCACAAAATATGAAAAAGATTATAGTATTTCCTTCAAACAATGGAAAATGTTCAAAATACCTACCTACAAAACTTAAAAAAAAAACAAATAAAAAGACGCAAAGTAATTCAAAATAGTGCTTTTCTATCCCGCTTTTTAATTATAACATTAATAATCTTAATTATTTAAGTAACAGTACTCTTAAACACTGCATAGTCATAATGAAAGGAAATGGTCATCCAAACATAATTTTTGTTTTAAATTATTCAAATTTTCTTGTTGAAAATTTCAAAATTTTGGGAACATCGCATATAACGAGTGAAAATCTAGACGCGCTGCTGTCTTGCTGACTTTGTTTCCAGGCGGTGCGGTGTAACTATTAAAGCAATTCATTATTTCATATTAATTAATAACAATATATAAATTATTAATTTATATGCAGAGGTACATAGTAAAGTAAATAAATAAGTAGATCCTTATTTTGACTCTTGACTCTAGGCTAAAGTTAAACGCAAAACGCAAATAATAACCAGGGAGGATCTATTTCGCGTATTCAACCACCACAAAAATAGGTTTGTACGCATATACGCATATTCCCGGGCTAGATCAATACTACTGAAATCAGTAAAATAATTCCTATAATGTAAAATTTCTTTCTTATAATTTTTTAATACTTGTTCTACTACATTGTTTTAATAGTTTACTTCAGGATAACTTTGCGTTATTTTTATTATCTGCATGAAAGAAGTACGCATACCACAGCTCATTGATTTGCCTTAGATATTAAGCAAATATATCGACTAAGGATCTTTTAGAAAAATGTAGATGTAATATTTTGAAATGACATGATTTTATTCGATAACTATTTAAATAATTTCATATTTGTGTAATAGTAACCAAAATCTAATTGTCAAGCTTGCCTGACGTATTTTTTCAATCGTAGGTATAGACTATCACAAAAAATTATAAATATAAAACTAAAAATGTGTACCAAATGTAGATAGTAGATATTGTATACTCCATGTCTAGGCCGATAATGCACGAACTTTCCAAGCTATTATGATAAAAAGAGAAGGCTCATTCAAGGTGCGCAGGTGAGGCCCTCCTAAATCTCGTTTTCAACCAATAAGACCTGTCACTTCAAACGAACTAATAACACGTTTCGACGTTCAACAATCAACATGACTGAGACAGGTTCCAACTTACATGTTCCATTGTACGGCACTTGTACTTAAAATATGCCCAGATCTATTCAAATTAAGTGTGAAGACAGTGAAAAGAAAAAAAAAGTTAGTGTGTCAAATTTAAGGGCATTCGCGGAAGATAAGGGAATAATCTTCCTACGAGAATATCTTTAATGCCTGAGACGTGTCAATCGTTACCGTCCATTGGACCACTCATCTAATAGCTATAAACCATATAGCTACTAGATATATTGAGGTCTGTCTATACTGATAATACAGAAAATATTGAGAAGGGCCCGTAATCGCATCAATTTTCACCGTTCTTACGGGCACTATATTGTCCAATAATTATATGGTTACAACTTTGCCTGTCGCATGAACCGAGCATGAACATCGAACACGAATTATTATACACTCGAACAATAGTGGCCCGTTTATAACCGCTTGGAATAGTCTACAGATGTTTTCGTACTATTTACAAATTTTCTGGGTCCTTTCTTGTTTTGTCGAACTTGCTAACTTTTCGCCAATCATCCTGTTGACTTTTTCAAAGATTAACTGAAACTGGCTTACATTTTACTCTGTACCTCCTTATATATTGTTTGGAGGCGGAGCTAAAAGACTGGTATAAGACGGCTCCTCCGCCTCCCTGAAATAATATATAAGCAGTTACAGAGTAAAATGTGAGCCAGTTTTAGTTAATCTCTGAAGAAACCAACAGTATTATAGTATTATAGTAGACTGTGGAAGTTTCTTTTTAAAAAAAATGTGTTTTTGTATTGAACTATTTTTTCTCTTTTATTGCAGTCATGAAACTACCGAATATCTTTTAGACAGACTTTAATGATTCTAATCGCGAAACGCAATCCAGCGAACTGAAGCCCTAGAACAATAAGGCGTTAAATTTACGACACGATAAACTGAATCTGTGGTCGCAGAAAATCCCGTGTTAATAACATAAACAATACAAAATATTGCAGGTACCGATGACGAAGAACAAAACTACGGATACTTGGACGCTTGGGGCCCTCGATTTGACAAACTAAGCGACATGTACACCGGTCCGGCCCTAGAAACCGAACTCGAAGAGGAATAAATAGTTAACAACAATCGAACGATAAAGTAGGGCGTTATTCGCGGTCCCCCAGAAAATAACTGCGAAAATGCCGCACACGTATCGGCGGCGCCACATTCCTCCCGGGCGACGTCAAGCTTTTTGTCAAATTGTGTGTCCGATAAGACTGTTTCCGCAGTTACCCGCTGCATTATTCATAATGTAACGTAAGAGAATTATTTGTAGAGAATTTAATCCGACTGGACGAGTTTGTGGAAAACGTCACATATTGCGAGAGCGTGTGCCGATGAACGTCTTGCAACAAAAAGTCAATTACGATTAATATTAACCTCTAAGCTAAGTCATATACCAAACACCTAGTAGGATGCATGATGATAGCAGGCATCAATGGTACTTATAATTTTTCTACAATACGTTAGAATTGGTCAATTTCGATAATTTTGTAGCTATATAATAATAAAAGCTGCTTCAAATTCTCAACGCATTATATATAAAACCATAATAGGTTTCTAAATTCGGCTCAAAACTATCCTGATTCTTGTGCCTTGTTTTTGTATTGAATAAAGCGCTAGCGAGAGTTTTTATTTGTTTACTACTTTAATTTGGACAATAATTTTCAGTTACCAATTAAACAAAGCAAACAGTTAATAAAAAAATTAATAAACCAACTTGTTAATTTTGGAAAGTGCTCTCCTCAAACTTGTAGCATGAGCATTAAGATATCTTTGTTAATATTTTAAGCTGATAATTTTTGGTGCAGCTGGGTGTCGGTAGCAGTTGATATCAAGCTTTAAAATTGATAGTTTGTCAATACTACGGAAATACTACTCTCCGTATTATCTAATATGTTGGTTGTTTGGTGTAATGTGTCAAAAATGGTTGTCGTCATCAGTTTTAAAATTTCCTGTGTAGTTAAGTTAAGAAAATTATCGCTGGTACCTAATTTTTGATATCGGGGTAAACCAGATTTCCGTCAATAATGTTGGGCGTTTTATATATAAGATTAACAAATGGTAGTTGACAAAATTTTTTTGGTCGTTGCCTTTCAAAAACCCTCGTGTGGGCGTCAACACGTCATGGTTTAATACACTTTTTGACACTAGCTTATACGGTATAGGTTATAGTTAACTTTGCGCTCGGAGCTAACCCGTCGCGTTGTATTAAACCGGTTCTTAATCGAAGTTATAGTGATATATTGCCGAATGTTTTATCTAGAACTAAATACCCTTATCCTTTTTGACGCAACAGCTCTTATTAGTCTCGCTGCCTCGTCGTTCTCCCGACACATGAGTATCGTGAATGATATTAATAGCAAATTTAAGACTTTTTTTGGAAGAAGTTCTTCGACAACGCGTCCTTTAATTCTTAGTTCTTTTACCTCACTGCCACACTGTTTGTGTACAATACCATTATTTACCAAAGATTTCTATTTCGTAGGTTTACTATGGGTTGTTTTAATCAATATGTGGCTTCAAATAGCAAATTTTAATGTTGTCTCTAATGTATGAAATTAAATGTCGAAAAGAATAAAAACGCGTTTCTACTTAAATACTTAAATTCCTAAAGCAATAGTTGCCATTCGGCAAAACATACTTTCGTTCGGGTATTATAATTTATATTATATCGAAAACCAATATTTTCCTGGTATCTCTATTAAGCACACAACGAATAACTTTGTTAAATTGATTTCACTTTTAAAAATATGTACATTGAAAGAGATTTAGGTTAGGAAATAGATACCTCATATTTACACTTTTTAAACTGTATTGTTTGTTCTCGACACTCCATAGGCAAAACATATTTGCCTACATTGTACATTGTAAATAAATTGAATCCTTCTGGTATATTTTCAATAAATGCAATTTTACAACAATAGGTTGCCAAGTTTCCAAAAGGGTGATACTTCATTTACACAATACACAGTAATCATTTAAACTTTGCTGCAATATTTTATAATATTTGCTATGAGTTAGTAAAACTAAGGTTAAAGCAACCCATTTCTTGGTATGTGGAGTTTTCCAAACGAAATAATTGTTAAACGTATCATATTTTATTTGTAAAGCACATTACTAATAAGACTAATAAAGAAATACAACTTTCTAAGACCGTATTTCCTACCTAATTTGTAGGTCAAGTCACTAATTATGTTTTAGATGAAATTATAATATGATAATACAGGTTAATTAGAACTTAGGTTTCACTGTGAATGGCTGTTAAGTATGCAGTACTTCGTGTATATAAAGAGCATCCAATCACGCGTTTTTTTTTTTTTTTCATATTTAATTAGACGCTAAGTTAACTTTTAGGTTAAGTTAAAGGAAAAGACGTTCGATACTCATACGTTGTGTTATTAATTTTAATACTTAATCGAAAGGGTAGTATTTAGTTTTTGATATCGCTGAAAAATTGTAATGTACTCTTTTAGCACCGAATCATAAATAATCAGACACTGTCCGTTTTAAAAACAAAGTAAATTCATACCCTTCACACTGGAAGGGCATCAATCTACCTATAGGAAATATTTAGAGAATGTACACGAATAATATCTTCAACTCATTTAAATGTAAGCAATTGATTTTGTAGGTATGTATATAGCGCAGTGTATGTAAGGTGAACGGATGGATGATCATATGATCGGAGCGCAAGTTGTGCCAATATTAACTTAATAAATGTAATTAAAACCCAGAATGCTGTGTATTAACTATCAAATTATGTGTTTGCACCAAATGTCTCGTTATAATTTAATACTGTATACTCGTTACATTACAAAATAATGATCTTATGATTTAGCACCTCTTTATCATCAATATTGTATCATTTTGTTTTGTTTTTTTAACGTTTAAATTTGGTTAAATTTGCATACTTTGAGTGCTAATAATGAGTTTGGAGGTTCCTTGTTTTGAAGGATTCATAGTGATTTGTGTATCTGTGGTCCATTACGAAATTCGATTGGATTTTTTTATTTAATAAACTTCTATAGATATATTGGATTTTTTATTTTTTATACCCAAGTAGCTGGTTTCTAGCAAGTCATAAATAGTATATTACGCAACATAACAGAGAGACTGTAAAACAGTACCAGTACACCTGTGACCATATAGCTACTACTTACTAGCTTAGCAAAAGTACCAGAAAGGATAAATTCAATTCCTGGGAGTTTTGAAACCTGTAGAATTGAAAAATACTAATAGAAGTGTTGTGAGATTTACCGCGTTTACGTGACACCTGATAATTTTGTTATCTTAAATGGAATTTAGGAAGATTTTTTAACATAGGAAACTTTAGAAGTGTATCACTAAAGGTTATCAGAATTAGGAATATTGCAGTCAATTAAAATATTGATTTCAACTAATAAGACCTAGTGGCGATCAAAAACTCACATGTCTCGAACAGTTTAGATGCCCAGATCTAGTTAAATGTTCTGCAAAAAATGAGGAAAGTCTATGAGTCGATACAACGATTGTATAGAAAGAATATGACGCAAAGTGATGTGGATGAAATTTAGCGGCATACGCGGAAGGTCATTACCATCTATCTCTATCATAGCTGCCCAAGGCGCCTCAATTTTTACCCCACTATATCTAATTGACAAACGTCAAAATACCCCGGCTAAAATCTACCAAGAACATCCACCGAAAAAAATCAGATCCGATCTGACACGAACTTTTTTTTGCAACCAAACAGTAAATAAAACAGGCATCCAAACAAGTGTTTCTCGGTGTATCTCTGGACATGCGCTTAGGTTTACTGCAATTCTAATGCCGTTTTTACGAAGGCTCACTGTTTTAACTTTATTCGATGATTTGCCTGTTAGAACATAGATGGCGCAGCAATGACAGCCAAACATTTGTTCTCTTAACAGTTGTCTTAAGCCTAATTATATCTATTAATGCACTTCCTGTTATTAAATAAGATTTAATTAAATTTTATATTTTAAAGTAACGTAACCATAAAGAGTATGTTTTTCTTCGTTAGACAGATTTAAACTAACCAAAACGTACTGTTCCGAGAGCCATGCAATTACGTCAAATCTATATCAAGTGATTGTTTTTTAATTTTTGTTCTTGTAATTTTTTGATATTTTGATGGTTTTCTAGTCATTAAATAAATTATCGCTGTTTATTGGTTCATTGTGTAATGTGTAAGTGTAGAGTGACAAACTACCGACATTTTTAAGAGATATATAAACCTACATTGGATGAGTTGTAAAACGTTCAGCTATTGGTGGTTTTACACTTTAATGAGACCTCTGCCGCAAAAAAAAATTGCAGGGATTTCCGGTTCTGGTCATAGGCGTCCTGTTGGGTTAGATAAGGTTACGAAAAAATCGTCTTTTTATCCGATTTCGGCAAAACAAAATATCTATTCAATGTAATATACAGGCCATGAAAACAATGCCATATCATACCACAATGATTTTTCAGAATTTAGTTTTTTTCGACTCCCAAATTTTTCAACTACAAATTAGAAACAATCAAAACTGCTTTGAACTTATTATTTAGAAACTAAAAAAATAATGCTAGCGCGGACTCCCAATGCTACTAGCCCAAAAAGTATAAGGGGTGCAATTTAAAATAAGAAAAAATGTTACTTCCAGTTAAAATAAGTTTAAAGATTTTGTGTAGAATTCAGCAATGTATTTAATTAGAAAATTTTACACTAATAAGGAAATAAAAATAAAACCTAATCAGTTAATTTTTCACTTCTTTGCCTTTTTCTTTTCAGCTTCCTCCTCCTTCTCTTTTTCAATTTCACTCACATATTTCTCTATAGTATCACCGTCTAGCATTAGCATTGGTGCGCCATGCCGCATTACAGCTATCTCAAGATTTTTTTGCCCAGACTGTACCACTTCAAGCAAGGCACGAATTGCTAATTTTATAGTACCTTAAATAAAAGCCAAACTTAATATTTCTATAGAATTTGACATTACTATTTGATCAACTTGTTTTTAAAGATAACAACAACAATAATTGTAATAGCACTGCTAATTACCATATAAGAAAATAACATGATTTATATACCTCTTTCTGTCGCTACCTCTTCTGCTGTGTAAAACTTTTCCAAAAATTCTCTAACTGTCTTGGCAGATCGACCAGTGGCATTGGCTTTCCATTCATAATAAATTCCCGAAGGCTCAGTCTGATATAAATGAGGTGTACCGTCAAAATCAAAACCGCCAATCAGACAAGAAATACCAAAAGGTCTTCGACCATTACTTTGGGTATATTTCTGTTTTAAACTGGCTATGTATCTTGTTATATACTCAAGCGTTACTGGGTCCTCCACTGTTAATTTGTGTGACTGGCACTCTATTTGTGCCCGATTAATAAGAATCCTGGCATCCGCCGTAAGGCCAGCAAAAGCCATAACCACATGATCATCTAGAAGGCAAATTTTTCTGACTGTACGTTCTTCTTGGAGTTTGGCCACTGATTTTTTCTCTACGCCTAATACAACAGCGTTAGCACCTCGAACACCCACCTTAAAGGAAAATGTCGTAAAAATATAATTAGTTATAATAGATATTAACTGCATAAACCTACAGCGGTCGATCCTTTTCTGACGGCTTCTTGAGCATACTCCACTTGAAGCAAATGACCATCTGGTGAAAAAACTGTAATTGCGCGATCATATCTGGACGACATCGTATATTAATTTTTATTACTAAAGAAAGGAAGGAAGTCTTCCGAACACAATTACTCGAAATTAACCTCAAAAAATATTTTGCTTTGTAATTTAATTCCCCACAATACACAGATAAACTATAACGATCCACAGAACTCTCTGTCCCTCCCTCCTTTTATTACCTCGGGCAAGATCTTTAGTGCATTTGCCTATAACCGGCATTTGGCAAGGAAATTCAGCAATGAATTAATATTATAAATTGACGACAAACAGACAAACAATTCCGGCACACCAAAATTCAGACTGATGACTCTATTTTAACGACGTATTTAACGGTTTATAGTTCTTTGCTTCCTTCCTGCTTCCTAATTATGAGCTCGCTTCGGGTTAGACAGCTACCCAAGCAAGTTTCAGCTGGATGCTGATGTCAATACCACTTGAACTATTTATTTATTTGGCAAAAAAACTTATTGAAATTAAGTTAGTAAAGAGCCAAAAATTGTGAATTACTTTTTGTCTTAAATATGCGTTACTTAGTTAACAATAAAAAATTAATTAAATTATAAGCAATATTAACGTTACAGCTGAGATGATGCAAAAATAATAACCGGAGTCAAAATATCAGAAATTTGCCAAGGTGGTTTTTATTCTTTTACTGTATTTTTTTCCCTTAGTTTGACATTTTAAAACAGGTTTTCGCTAAGTAAAACGTTTTTTTTTACAATTTCTGAGAGAAATTTAATTATTACTCATCACAGAAATGGATACGGCCAAAGAGACATAGCTAAAATGGTAAATAAATGTTCTTAAACTGTTCAGCATATCATTGGGCGTTACTGTAACGAAAATAGGGTCGAGAATAAATCAAGGCTAGCTCCAAATAAGATATTCAATGAACGTGAGGAAAGATGGATTGTAAGAAAGGTATCGAATTATCCAAAAAAAAGTGCTACCAACTAACCAAAATGTGGGTCGAGATGGAGAGACAGTTTGGAAAACGATGTAACCCCGTAAGAGTTCGACGAATCCTGCGAAAAAATAATTTACATCTGCGAACTGCCAGAATGTCTATGGAAGAATTAAAATTGAAACATTTAAAAGCTTACTGTTAAGCACGATGGAGATGGAGTGGTGTTATGTGGCTGTAGTCATCTGCATTTCATTGAAGGAAATATGAACCAATATGTGTATTTGGATATATCAAGACAGCAGACTTAAATCTAATTGAAAATTTGTGGTTGACATTAAAAAACAAAGTAAATAGTGCCCCAATAGCTAAAAGAATGAATTAAAAGTAAAAATTACTGAAATATGAAACACAATTTCTCTGGAGTATACTAAAAAATTAGTTGAATCAATACCCAGAAGACTACAAGCCTTTATGAATAATGAAGGAGGCCTGACTAAATATTAGCAGGGGTATTTGAAATTATGCAGTTTTACTTTATTGATTTGGTTATACTTTTACATGTGTTGTTAACTAAGTAAGGCATATTTGAGACAAAAAGTAATTTGCACTGTTTTGAAAGGTTCTTTACTAAGTTAATTTCAATAAGTTGGTTTTTTCCAAATAAATAGACATTCGGACCAATTAGTTTTTGTTATAGCGACAGCATCATTTAAGGTGTGAGTCACTGTATCTAGTTTATTTAATTATCCTAAGACTTGTGAAAATATTTAGTAATATTTATTTAACCAACTGGCAAGACATTGGGCAGATAAAATTCCCACCTTTTTTTCCGAATTTATGAGTGGAAATCGACTCAAAGCGTTTGTTTTTATAAATTTACAGGTTTAACCTTGATGAAAAATGTGAAGATTCATGAGCACAAGTTATTACATGCGTAGTATAAAGTATCGTTTATTGTGTCAAAAATTAAAAAACAATGTTTAAAAACAAAATTCAACCACGTTTTGCTCGAAAAAGCTGAATATTGACTACCACCGCAAAAATTACCAGTTCAAAGCAGGCATTTTTAACTGCCATTTTTATCTAATAAAAATACATGCCTCGTGGATCTAAACAAGTTTATGTCTCCCGGCCTTTAGGTACAATTAAAGTTACAGCGCAATTTATGTATTTGCTAGACTAAACAAGCCATGGCATAAGAATTTTTGTTTAATTCGAACCTTCACAAACACCAAAAAGATAATACAAGTAAGCAACTTAACAAGGTTCCACTCGCATGATGGGTCAATATGATTCAAAGTATCTCATGTGAACCTACCAAAATCGAAAATGTATTATATATATATATATATATATATATATATATATATATATATATATATATATATATATATATATATATATATATATATTTATTTATTTATTTATTTATTTATAATTATATGCACTAGGACTAATTATACAAGGCGGCTAGAATTACGATTTTGCGATTTTGTTACGAAATAAATTAAAATAAACGTCAAACTTTTAATTTTAGTAATTTTAGTACAATTTTGTGAAAATCCAACGAAAATGATTCACGTCACATTAATTGAAATGACTCATAATAACTTCGCATACCTGCAGTAGGTATGTAATTAGTTTCCGTTTTCAGTTTGCGGCGTGAGGTGGGTGGATAATATCTACTAAATACCAATATGTAACTATATTGTTTCAATGGTGAATTAAAAACATAATTTCGATATTTATAGGTGCAAGCAACTATAAAAGTTAATTAATATTTTTGTAACAAGAGTTCTTCAATCATATGTCATTCATGTTTTTGCTTACTGATTTCAATAGTCGCTATAATTATGGAGCACCTGCTTGATGAACAGCAGGTCAAAATACTGTAACATTCCACATCCGCGTCCGACCGATAGTGTTTGCTGAACAAAAAGCGTCTAATCTAATCGGTTTGCTAATCTAATATTCATCGTTCAAGTGTGTTTATCTTAAAAATATTTCCTGTATAATGGTTAGTTAGTGGGATTCGTGTATTGTAGAAACTTTATAACAAAACTAACTAGACGACAGCATTGAAAAAATAGTGAGTAGAAAAGAACTCTTCCTAATGTAAGAATGAAACGTGCTATGTATACTAATTAAAATTGCAAAATAATTTTAAAAAAAGGAATAATAACTTCTTATTATAACATGTTTTTCAAATCTGTTTTGTATTTTGTCGCAAATATCCATATCCAGGTCCATATTCGCTTTAAAATGACCTTAGACAGCTCCACTTACAATTAATAAAATTTTCCGGATTTAAACTCTTGATTGACTTGAGGGAATTTGGCGACCTATTATTTAAGAAAGAAAAGTTTTTTGAGTTATATAAAATATAGGTAAGAGGAATTATTTAAAAAACAATAACTAAAAATTACTTAACAAGTAGTGTCCAACGTTTATTACAACAGCTGTTCTTAATTATTTTTGTAGAAACCAATAACACTAAAATAAAAACAGACCCAGTGTTAGGTGCAGCCGATGTCACTGAAGTATATAGAGCAATATCAAGTCAAACAAAGTCAATTTTATTTAATATTTTTTTGTTAGCCTATATTGAAAGTTTTCCTAGTAATCATTTAGATACGAATATGCAAAATATTTTGCAGCAATTTTCCAAGACTTTTCTAAATGTGTATCGCACTTCACCAACACTAACGGATCACCTGGCGTAACAAATTTTGACTGTGTGTCCCCTCGTAGATAATGGAATCCGACGACATCATACCAGACTCTTTAGACGAGGCACCATCCGCAAAAGTCACAGTGATTTATCCGGGCGAGAAGGAAGTCGATTTAGGAAAGGAATTGACCCCGACTGATGTCATAGAAGAACCCAAAGTATCGTGGGATGCAGATCCGAAAAAATTGTATACCTTAAGCATGATCGATCCTGATGCACCCAGCAGAGAAAATCCGATTTACAGGTGCAAGAATATAATTTTTACCAAATAGTACATTAACCGTCATTTATAGTAGAATAATTGTTTAGAAAGAATTATCTTCGAATCATACGGTACTATTATTGTTAACTTATTTAATAGGTGTTAGATTTTTTTGACGTTGAATATGGTGAAACTGAATCACTAATTCACTGAATGAGAATCAATAATTTATGACAATAATTTTTTTTCTTTATGTAACAAAAACAAATAAAAAAAACAATTCTCTCCCCGTTTTGTTCTTAATGACAAATTTTGTGAATTTCAGTGCTGTTCTACTGATAATAATTGTTGCAATTACAATACATTAGCATACGTCCACTTGCTAATTTTATCATAAAATAATAAGAAAACTTATTTGTGCAATTAATTAACTGTTTTTTGTGTTTGTACCATCCTAACCAAATCTAACAAATTCCCAATATAACAAAAATTGTAATTAACAAGCGTAATTAACATGGAATCAAGTGCATAGCATAAAGGCAAGTTCTTTTTTTTGTACAAATAGTTAACCCTTACAATTAGTTAGTACATTAATAAGGAAGCTTAAAACCGACTAACATATTATTTTCAATCGGCCCTGGGCATCTGATTGACTAACGTATCTAAAGAAAAAATAATTATTTCTTATTATTTGCAAAAGCTGGGACCTATGGTTAAAGATATCTAAGACCGACTTTACAACCACAACTATCAATATTATTAATATTAATATTAGTAATATTAGTTCAGTATTTTATTTTTCGTAGCTAATGTTATTATTAACGTTAAAGGGCTAGATATCATCTCGTCCAGAATATAAGAAATTAATTTTCTTGTAATGCAGCTTAAAGAACAATACCTAATATTCTTTCCTTAATATCAAATTTAAATATATCGAGAGTAACAAGGTTATTATACGTTCGTCACGATCATTGATTGCGAATTTTATGTATCGCTTATCGAATGACTTTTCACCGAGTCGATTTTTTCGCGAATGATAAGTGAATGCAGGAATGACGTCGATTGACGTTAAGTTATGCAATATGACAAAAAGAAATAACAATGGCGGATTCTTCTATAAGTATTCTTTATTTTATGCAGGGAGATTAATCATTGGCTTGTGGTAAACATAAAAGGAAATGACCTAACGACAGGCGAAACCATCACACCTTACAGAGGGTCGAGGGCGCCAAAAGGAACGGGTCTTCACAGATACATCTTCATTGTATTTGAACAATCGGGCCAAATTGCAGTAAATGAGCAGGACTTGAAAACTGAGAGGAGGAACTTCAATTTGAGAAAGTTTGCTAAAAAGTACGGTTTGGGCAAGGCGTATGCTGGGAACTACTATAAAGCGCAGTGGGATTCATCGGTACCGGAACTAAAATCCTAAGATATTTACTGTAGAACTATAATCTTTATGGGATAACCTTTAATTTTAAAAAATACATTATTAATATACACACGATAGAACAATGCGCGTTTTATTGGCGATAACTTATCTAGTATTAACACTACTTAGCAACTAGTTCTTGAATACTGAAATGGGCGTTTCGTTTCAAAAAATATTACGATATAAATTCAGACGCCATAGAATGCTAAGGTCAGTTTAGGTCAGTTTGCAAAAATACCAGTGCGGCGAACTCGCTATCCATTTTTGCAAAATCACGTCTTTAATCTATTTCATGTATCACAGATTAAAACGTTCTGATAAAAATGGAAAATTATAAAGCATATACATTATAATAAAATCCAAGTGACCACCTAGCAAAATATATTTAAATATGCAATAATATGGAACTAAACTATTAAACCCCAAAAACTCCAAATTTAATGCTAAAATAAAATTTATTTTTATTTTATTACAATCTCTTGCCAGCAGGGAGTCGCATTTTAGACCCCGCTCATTATTTTTAAAAGAAACTGTATTGCCAAATTCCTGCTACCAACACTTCTTTAAATATGTCACTGACCATTTTCCAAATCGAAGGAACGACTAACGTTCAAACACGTATTGGAAAGCACGAAAAATGAAATGAAATTGAAATTCTAGATTTATAGAATTATATATTTACTTTCATTTGAACCTACGATTAACTTGGCTTACTCTTTTTGCTTCTCCTTTCCACGGTTTTAAATACATTTTAAGATTAAATATTTTCACTGAAAATGCTAATGTAGAATAACACAAAGTAACAAAAAGAGTTTGGCATTGATTTTTGGACATTTTTAGACTTTGTAAATCTCATTTCTGATATGGGTCATAAGAAATCAGTTACGGGTGATGACTTATGTGATGACTGCCGGCTTATCGCGAGAAACAGACTACAATTATTGAAAGCGGTTAAAACTGGTTGCTTATTAAGACGTTGGAGATGCGTAATTGTGCGAATCAGTGAAAAATTATGCAAAACTATGTAAAGCATTTTCTGTGGCAATATGACTTTGGTTGTATTACAGTAATGTAGTACAGTGTAGTAAATGGAATGGAGATTGATGAGTGATTATTAAGAACCACATGTCCGAGTCCTAAAAAATTATATATTAGTAATATTTCTAATTAATATGTTTTGTATAGATACATAGCGAAGTGTACTGGTTTACATCCGCGCAATTTGTTTCTATATTTGAGTAATATATTTCTCTTCAATATATTTTTTCTACTCCCTCCTGTAAAATAAGTAATTATACACCGATCTAGCGCGCGGGAAGTGTCACTTTACCACGTGAGTTTCTTGTCTCACGGATTCGAACCAGTTCGGACATTTCCGGGATCTTACCTCACGGGTTTGGGAGCAATCGGATGTTTTCGGAGATATTTCCCACGCTTTGGATTTTGACGTTTGTCAGTTCGACGGTCATGTCAGTGAATGTATTCGTGTTGTTTTGCGAAATTTTTTCTACTCCCGTCTGTAAAATGCCTAATTACACACGACCTAATGTGCGAGAAGCGCCACTTTACCACTTCAGTTTCATTTCCCACGGACCTGAGTCACTTCGGACATTTCCGGGATTTTACCGCACGGGTTTGGGAGCAATCGGATGTTTTCTGAGATATTTACCACGTCTTGACCAGACCGCGTATTGAGTTTAGTCTATCCCTATAAATCGTCACGTAGGTATTCAGTGACATCTCTAAAATTATGGGGAGGCGCGCCATCCTGCTGAAAATGTCACAGCAAGAGGTAAATCACATAACGAGTCTTCAATTTCATTTCTTAGTAGGTAATTGTAAATATCGTATACCAATTAAGGCACCGTGAAAAAAAAATAGGTCCAATAATTCGCCTTCCCTCCCAAACATTGATTCCGAACCGTTATTGAAACTGTCCGGGACGAATAATTTTTGATTATTTAAAGACCAGTATATGTTGTTCTGTCGGTTAAACATAGCATTATTATAGTATTGTGATCAGTGAACAAAATTAAGCTAACGAAATTATTATTCTCGTCATGTTTATCTACGGCCAATTAGAATACCGAAGTCTTCTTACAAAGTCAGTTTGATAGCAGTTTTTTTAAAATTATCCTCGCAGATTCTCTTGAGATGTCTAATTCTAATGCCACTTCTCTTAGCGACGCAGCTGGATTTACGTTGACGTATCCCACAACATTGTTTTCCATTGCTTGACTTATGCCAAAATTATCATGTCGATTATTTTGTGAATTTCTCATTTTCAATTCCAGCCTTTTAAAGAAAGAATGTGCAGGAATGCGACGTCCAACGCACAGAGAGTTTTTCCTGTATTCCCCGTATAACAGAAACGTATCAACTTTTTCTTCATTTTTAAATTGATTATTTTCAATGATAATCCAAATGGATAAATCAGATAAAAAAGTACAAACTGTCAGAATTTTCAATCATGTCGACTTGATGAATAGAAGCAAAGCCACCTAAGTAATATTTTCTTTTTATAAAAATTTATTTACTTATCTGTTTTTTACCCTACGTAGAAAAATCTCCGAGAACCGAAAGTGCAGCAATTGACTACATATTGTTAAAAAATTGGACATTCAGCCTATATCAACCCTTCCAAATTTCAAAATTATAGAGTGGTCCCACTTTCTTGCATCACCCGGTATATACGTAACAAATTAAAATGTTCAAAGTTCACAAATCTGCTTTACGCTATTTAATAAATGCGGATCTGGAAATAACCGGCTCACGATTTTTTTAAGATAACGGTTTTTGTTTAACATTATAATTACTAAACTCTAACACAAAAATTACATACGTTTCACTAGTGATGAAAAGCAAAAATAATCTGTTATTTAAGTCGTATTTATTTACCTACAAATATAATATTTCCTTTTAATATATTTCCCAACATAAACTTGAAAATATTCACATATTATGTCCGTTCCGGGAAACAAGTATGCATAAACAAGAAGAAGAATTAGCTGTTTCGTGTATTTATCCAAGTTGGTACACACTAATTAAGCAAAAGTGAGTAATGAAAAGAACTCTTACTTGATAAGGATTTGTAAACAGTCTCGTTATTATACAAAACTACTCCATTAAGTAGTTATTTAATGCATTTTTTCAATAATTTTATTATCCTAAAATTTTAACCAAATTAATTGGGGTTCAAAGCAGTCCGCTGGCTTACTGACCGCAGTCAGAAAGATTAATTTTTGATCAAAAGACAAATTCTACCAAATCAAAGCGAAAATAAAATTGTAAGAACCGAAGAATTTTTATTAAGAAAAAAGATAACGAAGACAACAAGAAAGAAAAATTAGAAAAGTGAAATAAAAAAATTGTTTTAAAAGCAAAAGAGACAATAATGCGTCAAATTCTTCAGATCCCGAAAATGAAAATGTTCAACCAGATAAAAAAAAAACAAAGTTGGAATCTTTGTCATGAGAAAGTGAAATTAATTTATGTGATGGGGATGCAAAAAAGACAGCAAGTTGAGGTATGCTCGTACGAGTAGTGGAATTTGGTCACATTCCGAAAGTTCCGGTACAAAAGATGCGTAAAAGTGTATGATTTTCTTATATTATGTAAATATGTTTAAATAAACATTGTCATATATTATTTGTCATTTAAATAATAGTTGATGGGAAATATTTCTTCCAATGTCTAAAATCATTCTATGCTCAGGAAATAAGGATGAATCCGAGATTATCTGTTTATTCCATTAATTATTAAATTTTTCTAAATTTCGTCGGTTATTTTAAATATTTATTTATTTTCAGAATGCCGAACCAAAGCTGCGGGTTATCGAAACAGACGAAGGCCTTCGACGCGGGTTTTTGGATCGACTAGTAATCGTCGAATTGGCAAAAAATCATAAAAACAATTCTGGTTAATTGCAATTATTATCTCCTAATAAGTCGCCGTTATTCCTTGGAAAACAAAACAGAAAACAACCTTCGGCCTGTTTTTTTCGACAAATTTGTTAATTTAATTGAAATTCATATGTCCCTCTTCCTAAGAAGGCTTGTATTATCAGCGAAGTTCCTTATTTACAGTTTTATTTACTTTCAGGTGTACAGACATTTTTTGAATGTACATACCAAAAATAGCAAATTCTAGCTTTTGACAATTTTACACCCTTTACTTTTGACGTATTAATGTTAAAAAAAATTTTTTGAATGTCGATTTGATTTGTTTTGCAACTATGCACCGTAGATAATCCAATTCAGATATGCTTTTGAATAGGGCTCAATTTTGAATCTTTAAATTACGCAGTAAGAACAAAGTATTTAGTTATCTTGGGATCTATGATACTTATTCAAAAAGAGAATTCTTAATCGAAAACTGGAAACAAATGACCCTGCCCCCAAGTGACCCATCAACTACTTAAGTCTTCAACGGTCGCACATAAACTGTTTGATGTTTATTTTAAATTTGATGTAAAAAATGATAAAAGTGGAGATAAGAATTTTAAATAGGCGTAATTGTATGGGAGCGAAGAACGTCTCAACATATATATATAAGACGATATTACAACACTTCAATCAGTCTGAACAGTGAATCGCGCATAGCAAAAGGCGTTGGATATAGAAATTTTTAACTTCAAAAGTGCAAAAACAGAAGTACGTATCTGGGAATTCATATTATAATTCGTTTTTTTTCTATATGTTATAATTTTGTTTGCAATTATTTCCGATAATTTTCTTTCGAATTGTTTTAAATTTATAAGGTTTGACGGTTAGTTTTATTACTCTGAAAACTTTTATATAGAAGTAAGTCAATTATCTGATCTCATTAATTAATTATAAAATAATGATGTATAAACCCTTACAAAATTCTCAATAGCATTATTAAATAATCGATTTCTCTTGCAGCTTAAAGTTTGAAAAATGGCTTTGGTAATCCCTGCTGTGACAAGACTGTCCCCGAGAGTAATAAGAGTTTTAGGGTGCAATCCAGACGTCAAAACTCTACAGGGCACCAACACGTATATTGTCGGGACAGGCAAAAGGTAATACAGTTTTCCTTTCCATTAATTTTAGCACAAAACTGTTTAAGTTCATAAATAACGTTTTCAATTTTACATTTTAGGAGAATTCTCATAGATACAGGTGATAGCGATGTCCCCCAATACATCAACCACTTGAGAAGCGTGTTAAAATACGAAAAAATCGACTTGGCACACATTTTTCTCACCCAGTCGATGCCAGACCATTCCGGAGGCCTGAACGACATATTGGAGCATTTAAGCGAGTACACTCAATTTTGCCAAGTGTGGAAATTCCCAAAATACGGCGACAAGAACATTTACCAGTACTTCGAGGACCTAAAGGACGGTCAAGAATTCACCGTAGATGGAGCCACTATCCGTGTCATTCATACTCCGGGACACAGTCCAGATCACGTCTCGTTCCACCTTTTGGAGGACAACGCAGTTTTCAGTGGAGATTGCGTTTTAGGCGATGGCACAGCCGCGTTTGAGGACTTGGACAAATACATGGAGTCCCTACAGGAATTACTGAACATTCAACCGAAAGTGATTTACCCTGGCCACGGAAATGTTGTCAATGTAAGCATATTCTTCTTGAGAAAGTTAGGGTTTTTTATGAGGTGAAGAAAAGTTCTAGAATTTTCAATAATTTTTTATTTTATTCATTTAAAATTTTATTTTTGTTGCAGGATCCACAAGAAAGAATTAGATACTACCTCAACCATCGCGTTGAAAGAGAAAACCAAATAGTCAACGTTTTAAGCACGCACAGAGTACGGTCTTTTAGTGAAACCGAACTTGTGTCGATAATCTACACCGATCTGCCTGAAAAACTTGTCAAAACGGCCGAATTCAACGTCTCAAATCATCTAACGAAATTGTTGAAGGAGGAAAAGGTCAAAAAATACAATAATTTATGGCAGTACAATGGAGAAAAGTGTATATGCTAAGTTGGTTGAAGTTATTTGCTTCTTTGTGTGATAAGCTTTGCTTGTGAAAAATGAAAATGAAAAATTTTACTTTAGTTTAGAACTTTTTTTTACTCAATGAATAGTTTTGTATTATAAGCTGTAAAAGTATTATCATTTTTGTAACTTAGAGTAATAATTTAATTTTTTATACATAGAATAATACATGAATTAATTAAAACAAATGACTTTTCATTTAGTCGCCATTTACAATATATTGTCAACACGGGAATGACACCACGGGATTATTTTAATATGGTTATATTTCTCTAATTTAATTCTATTCTCTTCTATATATTCTAAATAAATGTAGTACCTGACAAGTTTTGTAACGTATGAAAAATCTTTTTTGTAGTACATATTTTAAACCCAAATGATTCCTGTAGGTAAAACTGAAATAGTATGTCAATTAGAAGCCTCCTTTAGATACCTTAACATAAATGTACTCTTGCTTCCCAATTTCAGGAGGGCGCGAAAATGAAAATAGAAAAAACCATTTAATAGTTCATATAAACTTTTAATTTAATATAAAACAGTAACGGAGAGCGCTTGTTACTTGTTTTAAAAATATGGTCTTACAATATATGCATACAGTGTCTCCTTATCTCTAATATTTAACATTAATTACACTTTTTTAAAACATTTTCTGAACTAAAATATATTACCAAATTTAACCCCTAGTCGGTATCAATTATCGCTCTTTCAGTAAATTTGGTGGAACGCAAAACATTTACATTAGAGAGGGGTAAATTCGGACATCCCTGAGCACTTCGGACACAATATTTAGGTTTTTCCGATTTTCAAAAGATTAAGAAAGCAAGCGACACGCGTCTACAAACATGAGGTGGTTAGAAGAACTTACTTTACTTATTTATTATTATCTGATTGCCCAAACTATACTATATCCAATTTTTGTGACTTATTTTTTGGTAGTGTCGACTCTTGTAAGTTGACACAACCAAAAAATAACTTCATACTCCAAAAAAAAAAAAAATTGTCTTAAAAATTATAGAAGACAAAGAGTCTATTTAATGAGAAATTATGTCCGAGATTTGCATCGTTAAAACGAAGAGCCTACATTTTTTTTTAATTTAGTTGATTTGTGAAACTACACCCGATCTGCTTTAACAATAACATACCTTTGATTCAAGTTGCTTATTGCACAAATCCAAATTTATGACATTTTTTAACCCCTTTTCGGAAAACGAATCAAGTACCTTTTATGTCACATCATTTTTGTTATCAATGTAGCTCGAAAACAAAACTTCTGGTTTTCACCTCTCAAAAAAAGCGATCGCGAATTTACTAACCAACTTTACATAAAAATATTTTAAATATCACTTCTTCCAAATAAACAAAAAAACTATTAAATACCAATTGTTTAATTAATTCATTATCAATTAACCAATTAAATTGAAACAAGCATCAAGTTTTGTTAATAACACAAAAATGGAATTGTAAAACAATCTGTGACGTTACAGTCAGTAGTTTATCACAAATTTTAGTGGTCCACTATATAATAATGAATTTTCCTAAGATTCTGCAATTTGGGAAACCTAACAATTTCTATCATCAGTGTAACTGAGCGGTAGCTGAAAATAAAAATTACAACGTCATTTACCTAATCGAAAAGCTATGCTGTCGGCGCAATTCGATATGGACCAATATGGAATTAAGCACCAACTACAGAATTATTTCGAATTCACTTCTGCTCCGATTTTACTCAAATATTTATTGCGCAAATGAGTATCAGAGGTCGAACGAAACAATTCACCTGATTCTTCTGGCCCGTGTTGTTCTTCGTTATCTAACAGCCTCTCTCTGTCTAGATTCTCATTCAACCTTTATTAACAAAAAAAAAACAAGTTATGCAATGCGATTTGAAAATTATTTGTCACGGCTTTACAATATGATCATTGTTGTCTCGTGTGTGCGCATAATGAAAATATCCGGCATCAAATGCACAGAAAATTTAGAAAGCAAAGTTATCTAAAGCCAAGGTGGTTTAAAAACAGCATATAGAAATTAGATATATATGTAAAGGCCTTACCCACGCTGATACCAACACGAGAAAATATTGAGTCTCTTTCAACTCATAATGTTTCACAACAGTTCGTGAATTATGTGAAAGTACGACAAAATATCTTTGAACTCAAATTGTTAGGGAAAAATTAAGTTGGATTAACTTTCTGTATGAATGATTGACCAATGACACAGAAATAGTATATTGTAGACCTAGGCAGTAAATTGACATTTAGCCTTAGAAAAGCTAGAATTATTTTTCCCATCTAGCCATTTTAAGTGATTTGTAAGCCTATCATTGATAATGTTACTATTAAAAAACTCAATCTTCTCTTATTGCGCCCTCTAGTAGAAAAAGATAAAAATACTTTCCTTGTCTAAGACTTTTTGAATGTTTCGTATGGCTAGTCTTAGAGATGCCTACTACTACTACTTTCATTGCATGCATTTTTGCCGTCAATATATGAAAACCGTTTTTTTAAACATATTTAGTGACCGATGCAGATGAAAACCATGTTTCAAATTTTTCACCAAACCAAAACTAATCAAGAACTTACATCTGTCTCTCGTGGAGGACCTTTCTACCGGCAGGTGTCAAGTTGAGGTTGCCTTTTCTCTCCTTGTCCAAAATCCACAGAATCAAGGTGAACAAAAACGCCACTACAGATAAATAAAATTTATAAACCCCAAATCACAAAGACAAGTTGATTTTCTTTTACTCACATATTAAGCTGGATGTAAAAAATACTTCCAAAGCAGTGTAACCATATTTATCGACTATCTGCCCTACGATAATTGATGCAACTGCCAAGCCGAGATTCTGAATTGATTGGCAACTGAAATTTTCAGGCAAAATTGAACGTCGGCATACAAAAAAAGAATTTTCTATTTTCTTACATGCCATATGCCGTTCCCAGCTGATATTCCGGTACGATCAATGCCACTAAAGGCCACAAACTACTAGCAAGAGTTGAGTAACCAAGGCCCATTAAAATCACCCCTATATAAGCGTTAATCGAAGAGAATCCAAGCAAAACATGAGCCATTATGGTCCATAATATCGCCACGAATGTCCACGCTACATTGCGACCAGTTTTGTCTATTAAAAATCCCGTAAGTGGAGATATTACACTGGCTATCCAGTATACCAAACTGTTTATCTTGTTGGCTTCGTCATCATCCATATTAAATTTCTTAATGAAAAATTCTCTAAAATGAATGCATAAAAGGGGTGCTTGCTTCGGCAACCTTTATTGGAATTTTAATCCCAGCAGGATGTTACCCTTTGGTTACTCTAAAAGTTGAGGTAGCCGGTGTCGTGAACTGAAACGATGGAAGCATCGCTTCCTTGGAAAACGGACAAAATTTATTCTAACTAACCATTTTATACTGTCAGGACAGGAGCCTGCCCCTACGGCCACTCCGCGGGGTACTGCTACTGGCTACTGACATGCGGCACTTTTGCTTAAGTTGTTAAGTTGAATTTTAGTTCTAGTCCACAGTTTTAATTTATTAAAAAATTGTACCTATCTAACTAACCAAAATTATTCCAATACTAACGATAGTACTGTGCTTACTAACTGAATCAGCGACCACCAAATATATTTATAAATCATAAATCAAGGGTTTCATACAAAAATAGGGACTGCAAGCACTTTCGCTATGCAAAATCCAATGGATTAAATTAATTTTTTTTCGAGACGGTTTTAAGTGGAGCAATTTAAGAGTATTTCGAGTGCTTTATTTTCTAATATTTGTCTAGGTCTACAGTGATTTTGATGTTTGAAATCTGTTTACTTATTTGTATATTTTTGGGAGACCTTTTTCCATATTTATTCACTATCACTTCTTTTTTTTTATAGCGCTCTATATCTTAAAAATGTTAATATATTAATTAATTATTATACATTTTAGGCATGATTCTTAAATTAATTGATTTTTATGAAATTAAATGTAATTTGGCAACACTGGATAATATTATATTTCCCTTCAAAGCAGCAGAGTTGGCGCAGAAGCGTCAATACAGCGTTCAAATCTGCTTACGCGCAGTTTGGTTGTATTAGTCGTCGTGCTGTTGTCTTCGTTGTTGTGTATTTCAAGTGTTCTAGATAATATAAGATAAGATAATAAAGCAAAGCAAAAAAGCAAAGGCAAACTTCTTTCGTGAAAATATATACTACGCTTATTTTGGTATAAAAATTAGCGACCCAGACAAGTTCTAGGCTTCTCATACTATTTGTTCCGTTTGCGTTGAAGCCTTAAGAAATTGGTAAAAAGGTAGGAAGAAATCTTAAGCTTTGCATACTTTTGGTAAAACTTCTGGATTCCTCTGCATCAGTTTTTGTTCAGTCAAACTAACTAACGTTTCGCCAAATACCCTGTTGGCTTCTTCAGAGCTTGACTGAAACTGGCTCGCACTTTACTCTGTACCTGCTTTTTCGTTGGTAGAAAAAAATTCGAGAGTCTATAGAAAACTATAAGCAACCTATGAATGATAACCACCAGTCAGGTGTGTTTACCTGTCACCAACATGGCAATTAGTCATTCGGGACGGTGCCCCTCAATTAGCTCCGCCCCCTCAAACAATATAGAAGCAGGTACAGGTTTCAGTCAAGCACTGAACAGGATGATTGGCGAAACGTTAGCTAGTTCGACTCAAACAAAAACCGACGCAGGAGGAATCCGGAAGTTTTTAATTACAGTAGCCTGTGGAAGTTTCTTTTAAAAATGTATGTTAAGCTTTGGTGTTCCTATAGTATGGCGAGAGCCTATGAATTACAGTGATGATTGTTATTTTTGTTCGTGCAATGTTCAAAGATTCAACAGAAAAAATATGAAACAAATCTTGACTCTACTATTTGACCAGTTCCTCATGGACCAGATGTACCGATACCTACCGCCCCAAAAGAACTAGAAAACGTTACATCGTCAGAATCGGAGGAATCTAATTCCGACCTAGATGACTCAGATTTCACACCAGATTTCAGAGAGCCCGAAGTCTTTAACCAGAGAGAATTAAATGAGTTAATTAGAGATTTGCATCTTCCAAGGGAAGGGCCCGAATTGTTAGCGTCCAGAATACTGGCACCTGGCGTCACATCAAGCTTTTAGCAGGATCGCGAAAACGAGTTATCGCAATATTTAACTCGGACAGCTAGTGTATTGCAACAATATTCCTGACTTAGTTTCAAAATTAGGAAATGTGTTGTATATAAAAAAGAATGGCGCCTGTTTATTGACGCAAGTAAGTGTAGTTTAAAAGGGGTTTTATAGCATCACGAACTGTCCTCGGAACCCGCTGCACATTCATTTAAAAGAAACGTATGCAAATTTATTGCTTCTTTTGAAGAAAATAAACTTTCAAGAACATCAGTGGATGCTTTGTGGTGACCTTAAAGTGCTGTGCATGCTCATAGGACAACAGGGGGGTTATACAAAATTTCCATCCTCTATTTGGGATAGTCGGGTAAGAAATATACATTAGACTTAAATATAATGGCACTCTAGAACAAGCCTTACACCTGGTATCAAAAATTTATTAAGAGATAGCTTAGTTGAGCCCAAAAAAGTTTTACTACCTCCTCTTCATATACAGCTTGGCTTGATAAAGCAGTTTGTTAAAGCCCTAGACAAAAACGTGTGTTCCAACTATTTGTGTGAGAAATTTGCAGTCATATCTGATATCAAAATAAAAGAAGGATGTTGGAGAGCAGATAAGAACATTATGCAAAGACAAGGATTTTCAAAACAAAATGACCAATATCGAGAAAAAGGCCTAAGTTTCATTTAAAGAAGAAATTGAGAAATGTCTTGAAATGTCTAAGAACAAAAATTACGAAAGTATTGTTCAAAATATCACTTCACTTTCATTGTCTAGGTTGTAATATGAGTTTGAAAGTGTATTTCATCTTTTCAAACTTGAACTATTTTCGTGAAAATCTTGGAGCAGTTAGCGAGGAACAGGGACAGACGGTTCACCAAGACATTAAGAAAATGGAATGACAATACCAAAGCACTGAATAAAAAATAAATTATTTTAGAAATATCGTTTTTTCCTTTAATATTTGCAAAAAACTTCACGTGATATATATAAATGCATAGAATCTTTAAAATTAGCTTACCAAAATTATATACATTCAGTTTTCAAAACATTTTTCAAAAAGTTTAATTTTTATTTTTCCTCCGCATTGCCGATCTGCAGTTCTGGAGCTACTGTTTCAATTATTAATTTGCTACACACAAATATAAAATTATAAATTCGCAGGCCCATAGTCATGCCCGCGAAGACGGCGCATAAAACCCGAGTATCTTACCTTAATTGAAACTGTTCTTGTCCTCTACTATTACTACTAATACCGCTTATAAATTTGAAAAAAATATACTTACTCTCCAACACTAATGAACGGAAATATTGTAATATAATATGTAACGCAAATGGCTGCTACGACCCAAAACTGACCCGTAAAATTGGCAACGTCAGACAACCTAACTACTTCATTGCTCGCCGTTTCGGCTCTCCTCAATATCTTTTCAGCCCTTTTGTCCATCAAACCCAAAATTATTGTGGAAATCATTGAAAAAACGCAGGTTAAGCCAGCTGAAAATTACAGTTATGCTTATCCCTAGTTATTTGAATTTTAATGAAAGGTAACCTATAAGTAAAGCATATCCCAAGACCGGAGGCCCGCTAACGGTTTCATGAACCCAGTCGTATATGTATCCCATGACTTCAAACCCGACAGCGCTCCCAACTCGGACGACACTCATTTGGATTCCGAAAACCATATTTAGCTCCTTGCCTTTGAACCATAAGACGGCATAGTTATTCTGTCCCACTGCCAACGATTCCGCACCAATTCTGTGATAAAAATTACGCCATGGGATTTTAAACCATACAGTTTACCAAAATATCTTTACCCAAAAATTAATCTTCCCAATATCATTAGCAAGTATGTATTCCAGAAAGCTCCCAGCCCGAACACGATTTGTCCGAGAAGTGTGAGGCCCATATAAATGCACGTGCCTAAACGAATTCCAAAAACTCTATACGGAAAAACAAATTAAAAATTTACCTAAAGTTTGACGATTTTAAAATAACTATAGACAGATTATTGGAAATGGTGATTTACTTCTTTATGAATGCAACAAAATGAATAGAAATCGGTATATTACTGCCTACATTCTACAAAATCGATTAAACAGGTTGTCCCAATTATACGTTGGAAACTTCTGGCGATAGAAAAAAAATAAATTGGAAAGTTGCTTACCTCACACACAGTGTTTAGAACGTCCCATAAATTTTGTAAGAAAATAACATTGTTTTTTTTTATAATGGTCAATTTAAAAAAATATATTTTAAATAAATATATTTTGAGGAGGTTTGCGATTTTTGACAGAAATATCAATAAAATGACGATTTACTATTTATAAAGAGTATTTCAAATATGTGGCATAATACCCATTAGTTTTTTATTTCAATGTTATATACTATAAATTACCCCATTTATCATAGGAAAATTTAATACCAATCACTCAGAGTTCTCGAGATATTTTATTTAATATTTTTATCGTCAGACCAGAGGTTTTCAAATAAGCTGGTAAAAAAACCACATGTAACAAGAAATTGCTTAATAGCAGATCCAAATAGTATTTGTCATTTAATATGCGTTTTGTCATTTAAAAAAAGCATACTTAGGAGAGGAGTATTTATCGTTAGGAATAGTATGAAATAAAAAATACTGGGCATTCCACTTTAAGAGAAAATGAGCAATGATTTAAAATTTATTTAAAATTTCATTTTTTTCTCATATTTGGGATACTCTTTTTAAAGCACCCCAATTATATTAATCTCAAATATTAAATAGTAATTTCAGTGATATTTCTGCAAAATATAACAATTTTTTAAAGAAACAGGCTACTCTAATACTATTTTTGAACTTGCTGTTGACTTCTTCCGAGCTTAAATAAAATTGTTTTCAGTTAAGTTTAAGTTTCAATTAAGAAACAGGATGAAACCCTATTGGCCAAGAGAACTTTTGCATTTTTTGTTTGCAAAAACTATTAGATTTAGGTATAGCGTAATATAAATTATTATACATAATATAGTTAAATTTATTGGCAGAATACAAATATGTAGGGTTCCACAAGAAAAAACATAACTTCTTACGAATTTTTTGGACATCCTGTAAACATAAAAAGAATTTTGGGTTATGATGTCCAGCTTCCTATTTTTCTAGAACCAGCCTTTCTAGAGAATGTCAGTGCGAAGGCGCACTGGAATACTCGATAGTAATTATCGAAAATAAAAAGAAACAATAAACTTCAAATCCTCAGAGGAAATACCAAATAAAATTTTCAATTTTTTCCCGCATATTAAAATATAAATGTATTGGGAATAACGTCAGCTATTAACAATAACTGGAATAACCTTGCAAAAATGTCAAGAAAAGCACAAAACAGTATTAAAATAAGAAACTGTTAATAAACCTTTTAGAAACCTATGTTTGCCAACCTATTTCGCATGTGGTAAGGGCATACCTGTCAATTAAGAATCCTCCAATGAAACACAATATTACGTTGGGCCAGGAGTATATGGAATAAAGCATAGTGAATTGCGTCTCTGTTATGTTTAAATCCTGTTTCATATGTTCCTGTAGCGCGCCTGGGTTGTCATAGCAAAAATACGAACCTGTAAAATTGATGTGGGAAATATAAGTATACTACTAGGAAAAAATTAATAGTATTCTGTGACAAGGGTTCACTTTAAACTTTATAAAGAAAAAAGTCAATTATTTGGTGGCAACATAGTTGAGTCATGAAATAAAATACGTCAGACATTGAGAATTTTTATTTATCGATCTATATCTTAGTTTTGAAAATGAAGCATGCTGGGGCATCCCAGAGGTTTTTTTTAAATTAAATTAAACGTGAAGACAGTAACAAGGCTGCGATCTGTTATATCCTTAATTCTTAAAATTGTTTCATTTCACTACCGTCAAAGCCATGGAATTTGGCAGTCTATTAGACAATAAAACAATAACAAAACTATTAAGAACTAGTGCCATGAGTTGAATGTTGAATACTATGTATTAGATACATGAAAAATGTACCCATGGACATGCAGTTCACAGAAAATAATAATTTTAAAGGTAGGGAGATTAGATTTACTGTCCACTGTACACTCAGTAAATAAATAAGTCAATAAACAAAATCTGAACAATAACATAATTTGATAAACTTTATTCCCAACGCGTTGAATAATTGTGTAATAACAAATATTACGTTACAAAAGAATGACAATTATGTATACTTACCAATGCCTAAGGTACACATAAAAATTAAAGCTATAAACCTATGAAACCCCCCATTAGGGTGACAACACGAATATCGGCATTTTTCACAGCACGTTTCATCGACTCTACTCAAATCGTTCACGTTTTGTTCCTGTATATTTGGCCCACCTTCCATTATAATAAAAAATTAAATCCGTCAGTTCTTTATGAACTTGTAGTGCGAAGACACAGCGATCCTCGCACAAAGTACAAAGAAACTAGAATAAACAAATGTTATCTGTAGATTTGGACGCACTTTGCCTTCGAAAATTAGTCACGACACCCCCTTTGTTTTGACATTATTTGGTAAACATAACCTAAAATAAATTTTAATTATTACGTCTATACGTCTTCTTTTTTAAATGGCGGCCATAGTCAAGATTTGTGTCATGTTTCAACATCTGCGTTAATTTTTATTTATTCTAGGCACGCATTTTTTATAATTATGGTGTTTGGACCTTAATATAAATTGAGTCTGGCTTCGTTATGCCCTAATGACAATTTTTAGGTACCCATGCATTAAAACTGCGAAATTAAACATAAATTAATAAATCAGAAAAAAGATTAAAAAATTAAATATTATATGATTAATTTAATAATCTCCCAATTGTTACTAATTCCATGGATGGGCGAATGAGAGATCTGACATTTACGAATTTCTAGTATGCGCCCAAGGTATATTAGAAAGGTAATGACGGTAAATAAGAGTATGTCAAATAGGCAATGAACAATATGTGAAAAGCAAAGAAAAAGAGGATCTGAACTATCATAGAATAATATTTAGTATTTCTATGGTATCTTAGGTTATATTTGTTTCTATTTGATTACTTGTAAACATAGTTTAACAGTAAATAAAAAAGGGAAATGAGTTCTGCTAGTAAGGTATGAAATTGTATACAGTATGATGATAAAAATGATGTAATACCGATTTTTAGGTTGGTGAAATTTTCACAGCTGCCGGTCAGGCGTTTAACAGATTGGGGGACCTCACAATGCAACTTCATCCCAATGCCGAATCGCCTACTGGGTAAATTTTACCTTAATTTGACTTAACAATATTATTACTCAGAAATTCCCTAATAAAGCTATTTTTTAAATTCAGTTAATTTCATTCAAATTTGACTTTTAATTTAGAAAATGGACTGATGAAGAAATTGAGATGTTACGACAAGTTGTGGCACAATTTTCAGAAGGTTTAAACCAAATTAGTGAGCACATTAAAAGACGAACTGTGTAAGTCATGTCCCAATTTCTTCAGAGTTAATTTTGACTAAAATGAGAATTTTAATAACACTAGATCCCAAATTAGGACAGCTTTAAAGAAAAAAGCATTTGAGGATGCAGGTTTACCTGTAAGGCAGTTAAATACTGGGCCTCAACAGCCCGTTCAACCTCAACCCACTCAGCAGTCCTTAATTAAACAAGAAATGACCTTAAACATGCTTAATGCTGCAGAATCGGAAGTTGATGTTGAAGGCCTTCATGAGGATGTAAAATTGGAGTTTGATGGTAGTAATGAGGAAGTGTCCTCATAATATAGTTTCCCTTTTTTCCTGTAAATTAGCTGCTTAATGTGTTAACTAGACTTAGACAGTAAATAGGTATAAGAATTATGCAAATGGAAAGTATATTTGTTTTATAAACCTTCTACTTAACAAAAAATATTTTCAAGTCAATCAAACTTTATATCCTAATAAAGTACTAAATCTTAAAATGAAACTTTACTAAATACTATACAATTTGTTGTTTTAATTTAAAAACCATAATTTTTCTACCCCATTCTGTCCTACCACTTTCTAAAACTTTTGTGCAATCACATTCATTTTGGAGATACAATTCAATTCTTTGTTCTATGTCACCCCTTATTTTAATTTCTGAATATTTAGGGAAAGTTGAATTAGATAATTTGAATCGCCTTACAGCTGTTCTATAACATTTCCACGGTTGAGGTTCAATGACTAGAGACTCGCACAGTTCAACAACTCTTCGTAGGAACTTTTTCAAACCATCATCCCCATGATTTAAATGAATCCACATTGTTATAGAAAAACAAAAACCAATAGCAAATTTCTGTGTGTTATGCTGTTTTAGAAATCCTCTTACAGATTTAATGTAATCAGTTTCGTGCATAATATCCACGCAAGTGAATTGAATATTTGGGAACTTATTTTGCTCACAAGCTCGTTGAATCAAAACTGGATCTATATCGATACCCAATATGTTGACATTCTTTACACCAACAGATTCAGAGATATGCTTATACAATTCTATCGTTAAATCCTGAAATATTTAATATTAACTAATATAATATTTATCTTTTTATTGATTCAACTTGCCCCAGCGTTACAGCCAATATCCAAAATACAGCAAGATTGTTCCCTTGCAACTGAATCCCAAATTTCTTTGGGTAACACAGAAATGCGTCTTTCTGGTGGATGGAACTTGTAATAATTGATAAAGTTTCCAAACTGCACAGCACCTGGGTTTGCTGTTTTAAAATTTAAGTCCTCCATAAATTTATAAAAAGACAAAGTTAGGTTATTGTTACTAGCGTAATAATTTTTGGTCACTCTCAATCGTTTTGTTGGTTGCCGACTAGTTGGACGTTTTCCGAATCGTTAAGGTAACAAATTGGGAAAATCCGTTTTCCTCACATACATGCATACGTCTCAATTGTTTCTAAAATGACTGTGAAAGTGTTTTTTAGTAGCAATAATTAAAATTCCTTATATAAGTACTACAGGAACATTGCACATTTTCTTTTGATGCAAATCCTTTTCAAGTTTACACAAGGAAACAACTTCTGTGTTTAACATTTTTCAAATAAACTGACGCGTCAAATTGAAGACGCCACCCGATAGGTAGGCAGATAATAGATAAAAAAAACTGTATTATATAAATAATGTTTATTACGAACAACATAATGAAATATTCCAACGATTTTCATTTCTTTTTAACAAATGCGTTGAAGCCATATTTACAAACATTTCTATTTATAGTTAACCACAAATGCGCATAAATAACAAAAGAAAAACGAAAAACAAATTGAACATTTGTCTCATCCACCTTAAGACGAGGTTCAGTCCGAACAACATTTTTATAGTGTTCAGTGAGAGCGGCCAAATTCATTACAAAATCCGACCAGAGATCATGTATTCTCTTCCCCCCTTCTGCTATATACACACGCCCTGTATCTGTATCCTAGTAGCGAACTAAAAAAAATAACTCACTTAAGAAAAAAATAGTAGGAAATAAAAATAAATTGGCGATATGCCACATATCGTAAAATTATAAGTGACAAAAGCAGGAAGTAACCAAGTTCTTCATCTTCGGTTTTTTCGAAACTGTTTCTTGACTCACGAAGTTTGCTTTAGGGTACAGATATGTGCATAAACTTGTTAACTCATTATTTTGTTGTAATTCTACGCTCATTTAATTCAAACGGATTACAACATTTTGCGGTAATTTTACACATTTTGGAAAGAATTATTCCAAATTATTTATACACTCCTTGTTTTCGTTTCGTTTGGGATACAACCACAAATTTTAAAATAAAACACAGTTCTTTTGTATTTAATGATGTACACCTCAACCGATATGATTAGGTATATTGAGTTACCGTCTTATCCGTCTTACTAGTATTGGGTATATCGAAACTAATAGGATAATTTTTCAAATAGAACACACCGATATATTATTCCATTTTGTAAACATGTTCCAAATTCTCAACACTTTATTTGTAAATTTAATTACTGTTTCCAGACTAAATATTGTTATTATATACTATGTGTTTCAAAAATTAGTAAAGGGGACAACTATTAGTGAACCCAACAAAAACGCAAATGGGTTTATTTTTGTCTGTGCTGTTTTTTTTCAGTCGACTATAATTCCGCAGTTTTCGTAAATTATTTTTTTTCTCATGTTCCCATAAAAAAACTCATTCACAATTTTAACCCAAAATTATCCAAACATTAAATTGCAATTTCGGTTGAACGGCGGGACATTTCGCATGGATTATATTCACATTCGCTACACTTTGCTAAAAAAAAAATCTACGCGGATTCTAAGCGAAAATAATATTATACAAAGTAGGTATCGGAAATTAAGACAATACTCTATAATTAAACCGTCAGGTTTTAAATAAATTAAATTACGTCAGTCTTTTGCACAGTGATGTACCTACGATGATGAAAACGCTAGAGACCTAAAAACAAATTAGAGCAAAAACTTAATAAAAAAGCGGTTAATAACATCCAATGAAAAAAGCGGGTGTTTTTTTTTAGTAGATGCATAATATTAAACGATCTGTTGAGGAACTGCTGAACGATGTAGATCCATTACATCCATAACCTGCTGCCACTGATTTTAAAGCGAAACTTAATACACTGAACATGTGCTGACGACAAACCCAAGCGGCCTAGGGACCTTCTTAAGCGAGTGATTGTGAGTGTATTTTCGTAAAGGGTCATGCCAGGGATATTATAGCTTCGGTGCTTGGACTAATATACATTTTAAACGTAAGCGTTATTTCTAGAATATGCGGAATATTATATGACATATTATAGCATCGCTCGCGGTGCCTGGCTGGCTTTAATCGCAGATTATCAGATGCATCTCGGATTGGATTACAGGTAATTTTCATTTAATTAATCGCGGCTATATAAATCCTGTTATTAGAATGCCGTGTTAAAAACTCAGAATTGAGACCTGAATGCAGATAATGATTTTTGCACTTTGATCACCCAATAGGGGGTTTTAATTGAAATTCAAATATTATAAACGGAAAGCCTGCCGTGAGATGAATGGACAGATAGAAACAGATCTACAGACTGTTCACGTTCGTTATTAACAATGGCGATTTTTTTTTCAAGATTTCATTATACTTAGGAAATGGAAAAGGGGAAGAAATTATTTTTGAAAAATGTGCCGAAATTATTTTTAGATAAAACTAATATACCAATTATTATGAAATTTACGGTAATTGGTTAAAACTAAGTTTCAATTTTTTCAAAAATAATTAAAATTTCAAGTGCCATAACGAGACAGGTGATTTCAAAATTTACTATACATTGCTATTTGAAAATGATAATTAATTGCGGAATAAGAACAAAAGATTTCCATCACCAGTACAATGTCACCAGGTATATCGCAATTCAATTAATCATTGTTACTGCACACGAAAACAACCTTAACAAATTTCTGTTGGTTTTTTACTGCTCAACAGGAAGCACCAAAGCGAAATGCATCGATAAGTTCAAAAAAAAAAAAAAAAAATGCTCGCCCAATCAAACGCAGCAGGTTGTTAGACGGACACCGTTCGCTTGCGACAAAAAAGGCCCACTTAATACCGAAAGAACCGCTCTTATGAAAAAATAATAAACGTAACACTTGCCGAAGCAAAACGAAATGGCGTTTCAATTTGCTTCTTCCTAACTCTTAATCCTAATGAAACACAGCACAAAATTTGCACATTATTCCCACAATATTGCGAGCCCTTTGCCGGAACAGCCGTTGCTTTTGTTTTGCGCCTCCTTACTTATCCTGTAAGCAAATCGCAAGCGACAACTGTTCCCGCAATTAATCCCGGCAAATTTAACGGGAATATCTATATTTATCGTTTTTTACGAAACTATCGCCCCAGCCCTCCCTCTAATCGTCGTACAAGCTCGAACTGGGCACCATCTGATCGCACGATCTCGGCATCCACTCTTTCTCCTCTTTGGCGAGCCACGGATGGTACATGATGTCTTCCGAATTAATTCTTTCCGAAGGATCTCGTCGGAGCAATGATCGGATCAGGCAGCGGGCCCGGGCAGACACGCAGTCGGGTATGACGTAATTCCCGCTGGATATTCTAGCGAATAAATGAACATGCCCCGCGTCATTGAATGGATATCTGGAACAAAAGAAACCAATGTCTTACAAAGTTGTCCAAGGCATATTTTGTTCCATCCACCAAATAGTGGGCGTTAGGTTCTAGCGACCTTTAACAGTTCGCTATATTCATCATTTATGTGACATAACTTCGAACAAAAATAAGATAAAATTATGTATAAGTGGAGAACACAATGGCGTCACATCCGCTTAAAATATACTATGAAGAGGTTCAAGGATCTCATAACAATTAAGCTTGCACGGATTTGATTTAGGTATTACTTTAAAAAGATCGTAAGCCAACAGGCCGTAACGATTTTAGATTTAAGGAAATTGTTCAAGCACCTCGGTGCTTACTAATGGTGGAATTATGTTAAATTCGTATTGCCGGCCACACATGTGCGACCAGCTTTAATGAATGAATACGAATCTAGGGTTGGGGTGTTCCATACGAGCGATTCTGTTAACTTCACCAATCACATTTATTTTATACTGTTTGCGGCAAATTTTTATAAAAAAGTTTATCTACACGGTGAGTTCGTACAGGCCATTAAGTTTAATATGCACTCCAGTATTACAGACTGCAAACGGTGTTCATATTAACCAACCACCAGATCAAAAATCTGCAAATATGGAGGCAAAATGAGATTAAATATAAAACCTAAAAAAATTATACTGTGTCCAGAAAACCAGGTGTGAGGAAGAAAATATGGCATAGTAATCAACGTATTGGGGATGTGTGAAAGTCTAAATAATTTATGGAAATATATCTGAAAAATAAGAAAATTTATAGTAAGTTATCAAGTATACAAGGCAAACCAAAAATTTAGATATTTTGAAAGTAACATATGACGACTGAACCCTACAATTCTGTGCAATTGTTACTAATTCACGATATGTGTTGATTTTTGGTAATATTAAAAACAACATTTTTTTTATTTGAGTGAATCCCAAATTCAAAGCATATTTTTGAAACTTTGAAATTTCCTACTTCGCAATCCTAATAAGTATTTGTAAGGATTTCGATTAATCGCATTTTTCCAGAATAAAATATTCCGTGTCTTTTTAATATAATCGGTTGTATTTACCTGGCACAGCAAAACTAACTAAGAATATTTGTTAAACGTTCCCAGAACATTAAAAAAATTTATTATATTCTCCTTTAAATATGTATACAGAGTGAGTCATTAATAATTGTAAATATCTCCTGACCAAAATTGTAAAATTTAACCCAAATGACGTAGATAAAATGTTGCTTCTTATAAATTAACAGGGTATTATTTTTATGCAGTACATGAAAACTATTTGGTATGAAGTGTAGATACTGTATACGCTACCAAAGCATGCTAATATCAAAGGTGTACGACAGGGCCGCGGGATTGAACCTCTCCAAATTCTACGTCACTGATGAAGCTGCCATTTTGATTCTCCAATTCTTTATATGTAAATAACATATAAAAAGTTAAGGCTAAGCTGTTAAACATAAAGCATAAAACATAAAAGGAATTTTGATGCGTATTAATTTCTTCCAATGAATAACTGGTCCAACATTTAAAAACAAATTGTGGATCGTAATCCAAATAAAAGTCTTTCTCTTCGGGGTTCTATATTCTATTTTATAAATTTTTGACGAATATCTGTTAGATCGAATCAGAGTTTTACACAAGAGTCGGAAGTACAACTTTTAAAACACCTCCCCGCACAAGGCAGACGGGCAAAACCGCAACAAAGAAAACATACGGCACAGAAATAAAACCACAGACGAACACCCCTCGACACGACTTCGTAAGAAAGTAATGACTTCGATCGCTTCACGAAGTTCTCGTATAAAAAATGTACATTTAAACAACGGAACAAGGTAGGGGAGAGTCGAAATACAGCTACACCTGTGTTTGTGTAATTTAATTGAACCCTTCAAGGAACGGGAGGCGTCATATGGCCTGGCCGTTACGCATCATGTAATTTTGTTCTTGGGAAACTAAAAAGAAGGGGATGGAACTTTTTTTTTGTTTAGCGAGGCCGCTTCGGGAAGTGCGTTCGCTCCAATGACTATCTTTATACGACCACGAAACAAGTTTTGTTTGCAAAGAAAATAAGAAATCCAAAACCTAAAAAGATATAAATACGATTGACGCTACTTTCCATTATTATTGGTATTTATAGAGTAAATTCTAGTTACTTTTTTTGTGAGCAAAAAATACTGCAAGTACCACTTGTAAAGCAATTGTTATGAAGCAAGAAATAGGAATCGACTCAGTTTTCTTCTTAAATATTGCGATATTGATAAACGTTTTTTTGAACAGGGTGTTTTAAAATACACTCCGCTAATTTCTACAGTGCATAGAATATTGAAAAATAACGTTAAATTGTAAATGTAAAATTTCTGAAGCAGTTTAAGCAATCTAAATGAATTTTAGACCACACCATAAAAATTACTGCTGACAAAATTAAAATTTAAAATAATTTGGATTACTTTTGCTTCAAAATTGTTTCTGAAACAAGAATAATTAATTACCTGAAATAGGTCGAAATAGAATTGGGTCAGCATTACTTGACAAAACCTCAAATATCTTCAAATCAGTATTTTTTTGCACTTTATACAAGAGTACCAATTTTATGAAAAACTGCTTAAAAATGTAATTTTTGCGCAATAAATCAAAAATATTCCCACAAAATCAGGCATTCCGCTTTAGCGACGCTTCTGTGCAGGATATTAAAAGTTTGTCAGAAATAGGTTTTATGACCCATTCAAAGTCATTTTAATTAGATACCTTAAACCGTTTTGAAAAATAATAAGAGATTTTTGGGGCCCCTTTTACAACTTCTGAATGACGAGTTTTCTAACCACTCGCGTTTTTTGAAACTGTCCGTATCTTTCAACAAATTTATCTTTTTACGAGCTTGTCCAAAATATTATATATATATATATATATATATATATATATATATATATATATATATATATATATATATATATATATATATATATATATATATATATATATATATATATATGCGCCTCTGTTCGTAAACAATAAAAAAAATGCTATTTTCATAATTTGTATAAAAAATTTTGCAGTAGACCAATGCAAAACAATGTTATTTTAATTTTTATATCAAGTTTTAAGGAATTAGGATAAATAACAGGCAAATTTTATACATATATTGATTTGATTTTAATGCCAGTTTTCCACTTGGTGAAGATGGCAAAAAATGGAACAAAAAAGAATTTTCCACTTTTTTGAAAAACGAACCGATCGACTTCAATACAAGGGCATTTTAAAGGAGCTGTCACTCGATACTTCATACCTCACAGCTTTTTTAGCCCCTGATCGCAAGAGGTGAGAGGGACGAAGTAGCTCATGTTCAAAAAGTTGCCCCCCTCGATGGTTTTGCTTACGTGCCTGTGCGAGTTTCGATGTTGGCTTTCCGGATATTTATTTATTTAGAGCAAAGGTTCCGCTGCAAAACATTCTTGTCGAATTCTGTAGGTTTTATCGCTTTCGTCGCAGGTAGGGGGTCACATCCATGTCGTCACGAAATTATTATTAATAAATAAATCAAATAGTCGGATCAAGATTTTATGGCAACTGGCCAACTTTTAAGACAAGAATATCGTGGTCTTTGAAATTAAAAAAAAACTCCCTACAGCCCCTATCGTGGCGGCGTTGCACCTGTCGCCATTAAAACACGACGTCCGATTTCCGATTAGGAACGGCAGATATGGCGATAAACCCTTGAGAAATCTGCACCTGTCGGTGGAAGGAGTAAAACCTCAGGTAACGAACGTATCGAAACATACTCTTTCGCAGACAGTTTTTCGTTTTCGTTAAATTCGGGTTTCGCCGTTCTCTTAACCTCGAGGAATCATTAAAAAACGTTACGGTTCACCTGCCGAATTTATTAATGGCTATACACTGCCCCATATAAAAAACCCAAACGCACGTATATAAGACAAAATAATAAAACCGTTTTAATATCCATTCTGAAGAACAGTAATTAAATAAATTTAAATTAAAAAATAAGGCTTATAAGGCATATTGTGTTTGTTTTAAATACGTACAAGTATTTCTTTGTACGTTTAGAAATATGCTACTAATTTTTTTCATTTCAACTTTTTCACAAAAAGTAAGTTGTGTTGCAAATCCTCTCTTGGGAAATGCTGGCGCACCAGTCTAAGGGCGCGTGAACACAGTGGCCAACTAACCCCTGAATTGTGGGCAACGTTTGAACTAACCACCAAGACTAAAAATATGTTTTAGATATGCAAGAAAATATATACGGGAGGTACAGCTCCAACATATATAATGACAACACCAGTCTCAAGAAACAGGAACCAGATTTTTTTTTAAATGTATTTGAAGAAACAAAGCCCGAGGAAAAACTAGTCATATAGATGTGCAGGGGTCTGAAGAAGCGGATGAAGCTTATTGCGTGGCCTACATGAGCAGTACCATCAAAGTAAAGCAGAGAAACAACGGGTTCAGGGTGGTATGCCATACCTGGACAAAGAACCACGATTCTGACCCAGCCCGCTAATACTTCACTCATTAAAACATTTGTTTCTCTCTGTGTATTATACAAATGCAAAATCTTATGCGGTACGTTGAACATAAAAGTTTAAGGAAATTACACTAATATATTGCGTTATTTTATATTTTGATATAATTGTCTAAATAAAAAATATTTTTTTAAACAGTGTGCCGACCGGATCCAATTTCTTCTACGTAAATTTTATAGGACGGTAAATATTATTTGCAATCAACTTTTGTAAATCTAGTTGTTCAAAAATCTGTTCGGTAATTAAGTTTTTTATGCGTTGACGAAACAATCTAGGGAAACATCTCGACAAAACGACGAATCGTCACATTACATTAATGAACCGTAGAAAATTAAGCACCGCACCAACCCGCCTATACTAATTTGCAACAACTTCATTGCGTTATCGGTTCAGTTTACGCTGCGTCTCATGTGCAAAAATTCAAATTATCCATAGCGAAATACTGTTTGTTTATTACATCGTAAGGTACTTTAACGAAACACACTTCTCGTCTTACGTAAAGAGTGTTATTAGGAATTTATTACACGAATTTGCAAAACAATATCCGTTGGGTTTTACTTTACGCGCCTTTGCGCGAAATGGGAATTCGAACCCGAACGCGTCGGGTATAATTTTTCGTTTGCGCATGTCCTGGTCGAATCAAAACTGAAAAATCGGCTATCGCATCAGGATTTATAGCAGGATGTGTCGAATCAAGGATCCGTTGCACTTTTATCGTCTGGGAAAATGATAACCTCGCTTACGGTTATTTAAAATTTAGCTAGTCATTTTTGCCAACCTAATTGTGACTAAAAATATTAAATCTTGAATACTGAGAATTTTATTAAGTCATAGCGCCTAGTTTGATTACTATAATTTCCATAATACTTAGCCATCAAGATGCCTTTCGAATAATGATATAATGTGAGGTTGACTTGGCTGCCAAAATATAGCATACCATTTTGAGATTAACTATATTGAAATTGAACTGAGGTGGACTTTTACTTGATGAAAATCCATTTAACAAAATAAATAAGAACTAAAGACACGGTGTTGTCGAAACAATTGTCATGTAATAATATATAATTTCGTGGAAATCTGAACTTTTAGTTCTTATCTATTTTTATTTTGAAATTCTTCAAAAACTGCTTTAAAGAAATACTAATATATATCAGTATAAAGAGATTTTATGCCGCGTCTAAGAATGAAATCAAGTACTAAGTGTTCCATAAAAAAGAAGTATGATTATCACTCGATATCTACAACAAAATTTTCACAAACTCCTTGTCATATCGCAAACTTTCAAAAAACCTCTCGCTCAAAAATTACACCACGCATGAAGGTGATGTGTTGCTCTTACATTTCAACTTTCGAAAACCTCTAAAAACGATGAAGAAAATTAACTGGAAACTGAAAACAATTAAATAAACACGTTTGGTGCGTTGTTCTGACAGAATGGAAATTTATTATTATTTTTCCAACACTTTAAAAAAAATATGAGCTTGGTCGATCTGATGTCGGCAGTGAAATTTGATGAATTTTGAAGTAAAAACAGACTGATTTAGGTTTTTTTACCAATCCACTTTAAATTGGAGCTATGCAAAGCTACGCTATTATTTTCGTAAATCGCTTCAAGCTGACGTTATGAATGTTGAACAGTGTACTGTACAACAAAGAAGATTGGCACATCCATTTTTTCATCAGACGGTCCACCTGCCCCACATGATTCGGTAGCTCATGGTATGGGGGTTAAAATTAAAACTAAATATATCTGCCGCGATACGGCGGCAGGTGCGCGATGGTCCTGCATGCGATCGTCTCGTCAGATAACTTTTTTTGCCTTTATTCCCTATGTACGCCCAAAGAACACGCGCTTCAACTCTGGTTTTGTTACAACCACAATACCGGGAGAATCTTTATCATCTTTATTATTGATGAACATGCTCAAGGTGTTTTTTCACGAATTTTGATTGCGAGTTATTGTGTACTCAATAAAAATGTTCCATTTAATAATGGCTAATAATGTATAAGGGCGATTTTTTACCGGGGTTTTAAGAAATTCTTTCATATAAGTTTTTGTTCACAATCCCTTTAAGTTACCTTAAACGTAAGATGAAAAAACAGCATTAAGAGAGTTTTAAAAAGATTTAAACATTGTTCTAACAATGAAGATTTGTAACTTGGATAGAGTGGTTAGTTTTGGTCGGTGGTGATTTTTGACGAAAACACTTCATTTACAACACGTTGCATCAATTTTGGAAAGGGCTTCTGCTAAATTTCCATTTGAAAATTTCCTTACTTTTTCAGGATTTCCCTGACCTTTATACTAAATTACATATAATACAATTTAGAAATAATTTTAAACAAAAAAAAATCGACATAAAAATGAATGAAAATACATATTTTAGTCTGGCTGTAAGATTGCAGATGAACAATTGCCATTTCTCAATCATTTTTTGATCTTATTTTTTATTTGGTTCATTTAGGATGTTATAGAATATTCCATCCAAATCCTTAGTGATGTTGAGTTAAAGGTAGCTTCGCTGTAATAAATACTTTTGCAGAATTTTATTAACACAAGCCCGTTATTATAAAAATAATTTTTATAAAATGGCAATTAACACCAGCGCGATTATTAGCATCTTTTTCATTCTCTTTCTGCTGCGTGATTATTTTAAGACAAGAATTACCTTCCAATGAGCATGGTGTAGAGTATGACTCCCAGGGACCACATGTCGGCACTTTTCCCGGAATACTTCCCCGTTCGGAGTATTTCCGGACTGACGTAAGCCGGACAACCTCTCTTGTCGTTCAACCAATCCGACTCCGGTTCTTCAAGTACGACCGCATCTTCGAAAGACTCTAGCTTCAGTTCCGTTCTGAAACAACAGAAAAGTCGATCGAGTTATTATTGACGCACCGAGTATTGTGGTTCACAAAAGAATTAATAATGTGTCCCACTGTCAAAGATTAGAATTAGTTATTTTAGACCACGTCGCACAATGTATACCCAAAACGCGTTTGGAGCCTGTACGTCCTGATTCTAGAAAAATAATAATTGCTAAATTAATTAAGTGTGAAGTGTATATTATTAACAAAATTAATTTTTGTTTTTGATTGTTGAATGAAAACCGCTTTTTATAAAACCGCTCTGTTAATTATATTGGAATAAATTTTATTCATCTATATAGCGCAAAATAAGTAACTGGTATGGCACGAGTTGTTTAGTTTTTCTATTTTTTTTTTAGTATAGCTCTTGAATCTCCGAATAGAAGTTTCCCCCTGACAAAAATAACGGTAATTTTTAATAAAACCCAAAACTTGAATAGAATAATACGATAAACAAATAATTATTAAAAAGTACTGGAACGTTAAAATATATCCAAAATTGGAAAAGCTGGAACTACAAAATTGAATACTAATAAAATGCAATGCTAACAACAATGTTGTTAGATTTCGCGATGATATTTATAATTCATTTCCTCATTGCAAGAAAAATAAATATCAAATCTATGACCTGTAACGTAAAATAATTCAAATATATGTGATTTTAAGAAAAAAAAATTCTACAACTTCAAAATTCCTTGTCATTCTGTTGATGAACAACTTATCGGGAGTAAGAAATAACATTGCGCTTTACAGCGAACGATTACTCCATTTTTATTAGATGATTTATTTGGGCATGATGAAAGCACCCACTTCGTCAAACTGACGCGTTATCTGTTTCGTCGGATGCATTGGCGTGCGATCTTGTTTTTTATTTTTTAAATTTTTGTTTGGAAGTAAAACGCAAACACCGACACACTGCAGGTGATAAAAAGTTTTTCTACTCCCGTCTGTAAAATACCTAATTAAACACCGATCTAGCGTGCGGGAAGCGTCACTTTACCACGTCAGTTTCGCTTCCCATGAATCGGAGCCACTTCGGACATTTCCGGGATTTTACCGCACAGGTTTGATTTTGACGTTTTTCAATTCTGACAGTCATGTCAGTGAATGTATTCGTGTTGTTTTGTGAAAATGTACCCAAAAAATAACGGTCGAAGAAAAAGTATAGTACGCAACAGGTTCTGTAAACTTTTTAAGTCACTCGTTTATTAAACACTCGCTCCGCTCCTGTCAAATAAACTCGTGAGTCAAATGCCGTTTACCGCACTTGCATAATATATTATTATTAATGGGGACAAAGTTTTGCAATTTCTTTGGTAGTGAATTTAAGGCATTGGGAAAATTCGGTCTAATTTGCAAGATATTAGAAGACTGAAATCCTCAATTTTTAAGAAATTAAATGTTCGTTAGTTTTATTTTTATCTTCTACAAGAAGCTCTCATTGAATTTAGAATTCAAAGTCCCGCCGACATCATCTTGCCTATTTTGCCTAATATTAAATTTAGTTTAGAAACTTACCACGGTCTGATAAAAAACGATTAAGTAAAATTTAATTTAAAAGTCCTAATTGATTTAATTTTAAAAAATTGTCTTGGCAATATGTAAAGGATATAAAGTTTTCTTCAACGAACTGTTTCAGGTCGAAAAAAAGAAATAGCCGCTTTTCATTTTTTTGTAATTGAAAACGACTTACTATCGGCGCGAAAATGCACAACTCATACGTCATATAGAGTCATACTGAGAAGCGAACTTTTGCCACCTATAAATAATAAACGCAACAAAAAATTTTGCATTTGTGAGCGATTGTGAGCATATTACGGCCTATATGCAATACTTTATACAAATTATATAAGGGTTTTATAATAAATATTATAATAAAAAGTACTGAGCGGGACGCCACTGGCAAAAGGGTTTCCGAAATAAGTTCTGTCGCAACTGACTGCCGCTTGCCGCCGCTCGGGTGTGATGTTCAACGCGATATTGAGCAAGACCAAATTTTCTTACAACACATACGAATGTTAGCAACAAAACGATTGGTATATTCTACAAACGGGTCTACGCTCGTTACCAGGCGAGTTATAAATATTTTGTGAAATAACGTTGTGGTATTTCGTTTCATCTTTGAATCATCAGGTATATCGGTTGATATTCGGATTACAAAAAGTATTTTTTGCATCGTGCTACAGCAATTAAAAACTATGTTATCAAAATTATTTTTGAGTGTTATCGTAGTCAGAATATGCTTATGTACTTCGAAACCCCACACATTGCATCATTCAAATTTTCAACAAATTTTATTATTCTCATCTATTTGACCACATAATTCCGTTTCTCGCCAAATTCCTAATTTTTTTAGTTGATTTGACATATTTGCAAAAAAAAAAGAAAGCAGACAACCTTGGTAGCTGATTTATTTTACTGTCAAAGAAACATTGCCATTTTAAGCAAAAAAGAGTCAAATTTTTTTAGTTGATTTGACATATTTGCAAAAAAAAAAGAAAGCAGACAACCTTGGTAGCTGATTTATTTTACTGTCAAAGAAACATTGCCATTTTAAGCAAAAAAGAGTCAATTTTTTGCGAGGTTTTAAGGAGTTAACAACATGTAAGTTAGCACAATGAAACCTTTATACCCGATGTCATTTGCCATACATAAATGATTATAAATGTTAATTATAATATTTATTTTGCAAACATAAGCCAAAACTTTTACTTTTTCTTAGATATTAAAATTTAAAAAAGGAAATTATAAAAATATATGTTTTTACAAAATTGCGTTTGTTGAATCACATATTTACCTCCCCATAAACAAAAAAATAACCTTTGGAAAAGTATATCAAGAGCACCTCTAGTCCTGACGGTCATTGTGAATCATGTGAACAGAGGCAGATGTTCTACAGGCGCCGTGCAGTTTCCTCTACTCCAGATAAGGCATATGTTATTATTTAGCAAAAGCTGATTCCTCAAATTCATCTTACCCAACAATTGGTTTTCTATTAACCTTTACATATTTTCAGTAATACATCTAAAAATCGTCTGTTTAACAATACCTTTAACTGATTTAACATTAACAATATTTTAATAAAATAATAATATTGAAATAATAAAATCCCTGTCTGACCCTTTTCTAAACTTGACGTTTCAACTGCTCTACATACACAACTTTACGTGCGTTTCAAAAAAACTATCCCTATCCGCTTTCAATAGAGTGCCTTAATGTTTCAACGCGCGATAACCCGTGTCATTTTAAAATGGAATAAACATCATTTAAAAATTTAAAGAAAAAAAAAACAGGCGATAGCCGAACGTTCACCCCGTACATACAGACTTAACGACGCGAATGTGTGTCAACCCGAAAAAAAAGCAGATATGTATAACGAAACTTATCGCGCGAAATTTCAATAAACGTTACGAAATGAGAAGCGCGCTCTTATTAAAACAGAACCCTTAAATATGCATAAGTGTTTGAAAATTTATCGTCGCCTGCACGATGGAAGTATCGGTGCAATTTCACATTATTAGCGTGTCGCTTCATCAGAAACGTGATTATCATCTTTCTGGCCAGTGGTCAATTTAATCGTGTTTTTATTTTTTATTTATTAACTTGTTGCTTCGGGTCAACAAAATGTAATTTCATGTTGAAATAGTCTTCTTTTTCGGTTACGTCTTTATATATATATATATATATATATATATATATATATATATATATAAAATTTCCTGAATATGAAAGAAACAAAGTAGAATAATAACTTTTTATTATTTTTCAATATAATCCTCCTTAACTTCAATACACTTATTACATATCTTTATTAACAACTCAATCCCTTTAAAAAAATATTCTTTTGGTTTGTCTGCAAAGGGATGATCTATCTTTTGGAACCCACACTCTAAAATGGCAACTTGTGCATTATCGTGCAAAAGACGCACGCCACTGGTCAGTTTTCCTCGATGTTTTACACGTATGCAGTCTCGCAATGTATGTAATAATGTTGCGTAATACTTACCATTGACAGTGGTATTAGTTTCTTTAAATCTATCAAAAGAATTCCTTCACAATCCCAAAAGATCGTGGCTATCACCTTTTTTGTTGACTGGCACTCTGAATTTTCTTGGAGGTTCTTCACCCTTACGACGCCACTCCATTGATTCTTTTTTCGATAGAGAGTCATAATAGAGAACCATAGTTTTATCTCCCGTCACAATAATTTCTATCACAGGCTTCGGTTCCGACCCACAGAGACACTCGGCACGGCGTTGTTTTTGAATAGCCGAAAGGTTTTTAGGAACTCATCTTGCACTAACCTTATGCATACCTAAATGATCATGCAGGATTCGACGAACACTTGTATCAGAAAGCTTAATAATTTCTGAGATTTCCTTAAACGTCGATCACTCAATACCACCTCTTCCACAATCGCAACAATATCTTCCGTTATGACCTCCACTGGTCGACCAGTTCTTGAAGCATCTTCAAGGGGCTCCTACCGCATTCGAAAACGTTTTGCCCATTCTTTCACTGCAGAATACGAAGAAGAACTTTGTCCGTACACACCATCCAGCCTTTCTTTAATAATTTTGGGTGCTAACCTTTCTTTTGTCAAAAACTTCATGACTGCTCTATACTCAATTTGCGATATTTGCGACATTTTTTTGGACACGTCTTGTTTAAAATGCTGTCAATAAAAAACCATTTGACGCAAGACTTCAATTTTTTTTTCCCAGCCTACTAAGAAATTTTGGCGCTAACCTCGTATGTACATTTTTATAAATATACAATATAATAATAGAAATTTAAATGTAATTTGTAGAGTTTAAAGGCCTTATTACTTGTTACATTGAGATTATCAGATTAATATTGCTATTCGTTTAATTTCCCCTTTAAGATTTTTGTTGGGCGTTTTGACATTTTGGTAGAACATCTAGAAATGGTTTGAATAACTAGTCATATGGATATTTGTCTAAAACACTCCTGAAGTTATGAAGTCGAT